GGCCATTTTCTGGAGAATCGCATTCCATCTTCATTTTCATCTTCATTTTCATCTTTAAAAGCATATCACCCTACATCTTCAATGCATATATACCGTTAAGTAAATGCAGTTGCTGTCTCCTTGCTAAGATAGTATCATCAGGAACGTCTTCTGAATATACACATCATTCTCAACTTCTTGCATATGCTCATGGTTTGCTAATCCTTGATCGACACTCTATACCCTATCTGCGTGTTAAATGACACATATAGATAATAGGGAATTGTAAGATATAGTTTTACTTCTGTTTTTGTTTACTGTTACACAGAGCTATCAAGGGATTAGTAGTCTAATCTATGTGAGATAACTCTTAGTTTATTTAATTGCATAAAATAGTAGTACTGTGAGATTATAACTGGAGCTGCTAATTCAGTCGGTTCGGGTGAATCACGTTTCGATTTCATTGGATTTTTTTCTTACAGAAGATCCGACCGAAACAGACCCGAAAAATTACTTGCACCGATCCAAACCGACCAAATTTTTTTTCTTAGAGAAGACCCGACTAAAACCGAACCGAAAAATTAACTGCACCGAATTGACCGAATAAACAATCGGGTTTTCTGTTCGGTGCCCGATTTATCCGAAATCAACAGAGCCAATTTCTTCCCAGGAAAAATTGAAAAAAAAAAAAGCACAGTTGTTTGGCACTTTTTTTCTCCAAAAAACAAACAGAATAAATATTTCAAAAGTTTATCCCTACAAAATTCTTTGAAAAAAAATCAAAAAAATAAATTGGTGCAGAGAAACTTTTTATTTTGCTTGAATGTGGCCCCGCCGTTGCTGAGTTGCTGTAGTAGCTCGAAGTAGGTGCCGGATCTGTCAGATCTGCGATTGTGATTGTGTAGAAATTGAAGATTTGAAGATTTGAGAAATGGATATTTGGGGTTTTTCATATTTGAAGAGGAGAGATAGGAAAATGAGTACCCCGTTTTCAAATGAGTTTTCTCTCGAATGGCCCCCATTTTGCTCTTCTGGTTGAAGGGGCTGGGAAAGGTCAAAGGTTTGTGATATCCTAATAGAGATAACATTGAGGCTGCCCATGGGAGGTTGTAGGTGGTGGTGGTGGAAAGTGGAGGGGTGGAGGTGGGCGGCGGAAACGAAGAAGGAGGATGGCTGGAGGTTGTTGGTAGTGGTGGCGGAAAGTGGAGGGTGGAGGTGGGCGGCGGAAACAAAGAAGGAGGAGGCTGGAGGTTTTTGGTGATGGTGGCGGAAAGTGGAGGGGTGGAGGTGGGACTGGGCGGCGGAAACGAAGGAGGAGAAGAGCAAAATGAAAATAGGGCTTGCTACTTTGGGAGGAAAAAAAAATGAGAAAGACTAAACCCTATAATGAGTTAATAGATATGTAATAAAAAAATAATTAAAAATTAAATTAATAGGGTTATTTGGACAGCCCCGAATAATATTTTTTAAAACCGAAATCGAACCGTATAAACTAATCGGTTAATCGGGTAGAGCCGAAATACCACCCGATTAACCGATTAGCCGACCCGTTTCGTCTGAATTCATATCGGGTCAGGCGGTTCGTCGAGTCGATCCGATTAACTAGCAGCCCTAATTATAGCAAATCTATGTATGGTATCTACTTAGTTATAATTTGTCATGGAGTTTTTGTAGAAAACTTTAGTCACAATATTTTCTTTAATTTCACTAGAAATTGATCAACTTCAAATGCCTCTCCAAGCTAAACATAATTTATTTATTAGAGACTGTCATAGTTCAAAAACTTCGGATCAGAGTTTTCACCAGATGTGCCTTCAGCAAATAGTATGTCATTTCTCCTGGATGGATGTTGTCCCAGAAGATGAATTTGGATGAATCGAAGCACACCAGGGAGAGCTGGTTGCATAGAGGTTTGGCTTTCACCACCCTGGTGCCACAGCAACCTCTGGTGGTTTCAGAGAAACCTGAACAATAAAAATAGGGCAAGTAATAAGATTAAAAAAAGTGTAAAAAAAAAGTTGAAGAATAAATGAACAAAGTTTTAAGAAGTAAGCTTACCATACTGTTTAGGATGCATCGTCATATCAAACAATGGAGTGTAGACATCCGCTGGGATGATAGTGCTTCCTAGGAGACTCTATTGTATGCTGGCAAAAGTTTCAGGAGCTCTGCGTTGTAAGCCTGTGAATGGATTTTTACTGGTGGACACAGTTTTCATGGTCAGCATTCCCCTAAAACTAACGAAGCAATGGCTTTAGGCCCCTATTTTGGGAAGGCCTCAAATTTTCAAAAATTAATATTTTTATATTATCTTAAAAAATTAAAACAAATAAGATGGACTACAGTTCAAAAAAGAAAAGCTACATATTTTTTAATTCCAATTTAAACTCCACAAATTCCGAGTTCTCTTTTTTTTTTTTTCCAAATCTTCTTAATATTTTTAGTTAACAAACCAATTTTCCTATTTAAAAAATAAAAAAATAAATTATTGCTCAACGTTTTCAAATCTCAATCACTCGCAATCTATCTAACCACCAAAAGAACTGCTCAATATTTACATATCTATCCAAATAAATGAGGTTTATAAATTTCATATTGTTCAATAAATTATTCCAAAAATACCAAAAGATTGCTTGCTACTCAAAACTATAACTTTCAGATGTTATTATATGGCACCACAAATTTAAACAGTATTTATATCATTTTTGTATTAGGTTTTGTGAAAAGATTATTGCTCAACATTTTGCACGTGAGATATACGTGGATTGATCGAACGATATTATGTGTCCATATAAAAAATATATTTTTGTAAATTCACAAGTAAATCACGTGATACGGAAGACTCGAGTCACGTGAGATGTACGTGAATTGATCGAACGGTATTATGTGTCCATATAAAAATTATATTTTTGTAAATTCACAAGTAAATCACGTGATGTGGAAGACTCGAGTCAAATTTTTATGATGGACGCATAATACCCTTCGGCCAACTCATGTGAATTTTACGTGAAAAAAAAAATTAACTGTTAGTTTTTTCACGAAACTCTAAGGGCATGTTTGGTTGCTTGTGAGATTTTAATTCTGAGGAAATTAATATTTCAGTTTACTTTATGATTCCTGAGAATATGATTCAGGAAAATTTAAACACTTTCTTACGTTTGTTTACATGTTTGGAAAATATGCTTGAAAGTGAGAATATTTTTATTTTTTTATCGCTTATAAACCTCCAACATGCGGCTAAACCAAATATTTTTTATTACTAATATAAAAAGATCATTGTTTGTTTGTTAGCTATTAGACCTATCATTTTGATTCACCTTGCAATCAAATTATATTAATTATTTTTAAATTTTTTTTAAGTCAAAGTAAGTTCTTTTATATTAAATCATTTGATTAAAAATAAATTATTTTTTAATTTTTTCAAATCAAGAATTTTGATTTTTTAATGTTATGGTAATTTTAATATTAAAAATAAAACATATAAATTTTAAATCAAAAATTATTTTATAGATAATTTTATATTGGATAATATAAAATTAATTTTTAACGATTAATTTATCTGATCAAATAAGTGACAATTTGACAACAAACATGAGTTAATTAAAAAATAAATGTACAATATGGCATGAAGACTACACATAAAAGATGTACAAAAGTTTAAAATCCAAAGGAAAGTAAAACGAATAACAGTTTTTAGATGGGCAATCATAATCCTGAAATCTTACATTTATTTTCCTTGACTTTCTTTGACTTTGGAAATTATTTTACTTTCCTAAAACTAAGCAAACATTGGAATTTAATAATTAGAGAAATGATTACTTTCCTAAACAAAACAAACATGAAAATTTGAAAACAAGGAAAAAGATCACATTTCCACTTAGATTCCAAGTCAACCAAACAGGCCCTAAAGGAAAAGTGAATCAAAACACTATTTAAGTTAGCTTATCATATAAAAATTTTAGTTCTGAATGAATATATCAAGCAATTTTTTTTTTTGTACTTTTGCAGTTATTAATTGTTTTTTTTTTTAGTTTTTCTATATTCAAAAGACCCCAATTTCGATGTTCGCTTTAGGCCCCGAAAACACTAAGCCGCCATGCTAATAGTTTAACAAAAATACTCTCTCTTTCCAGGACTTTTCAAAACATGTCAGTAGTCGATGAACTCTGCCTCACTAAATACTTTTGATAAATATTTTTCTCCTATTTTATTATTAGTTGCTGATATTTATTAGTAGCAATAGATTTGAGGTGGATTTTTTTTTCTTATGAATATTTGCAGGGTGTCCACCGTCGGCAATAGTGACTAATCCCCCTTGTTGAATTGTAGGCACTTCAATGGTGGGACAGCTAGCCAAAATTTGAGGTGGCTTTGAAGTACCAAATCTAAAATCCTAATTAAAACGACCTAAATAATTAGTGAATTGGCCCAATAATTTTTTGGACTTAAGGCCCGCTTGGACTTGAGGTCCGCATGGAGCGATTCACTGGAGAATTGCACTAGGTTATGTAGCAAATGAAGGACGAAATGTTAGGTACACTCAACGAGGTAGTACAACGTTGAAACAAGACCAATGACGAAGACCTTACTTGTGTTGCCACCCTCTAAAACAACGTTAATCGACTCAAGGTGAGTTGGAGGCTTCTCGAACAGAAATGATGCATCTGAAAGAATAGTTAAATGCTATGGCCGTGCAAAGGATGATCGGGGCCTGGGGCGGTCCCATGACTTGAAGAACGAAAGCCTGACGAGTACAAGGGTGGCAGACTCAAGTGATTTAACAGAAAGTGTAGTAAGACTGTGTGTGGATAACTGTATTAGTTAATTCTACAACATATTTATATCACTTATTTATAAGCATAGAATATATAATATATAACGTAACAGTGTAACGCGTTAAAGATGTAGTCTCACGTATTCTACACCAGAATCCATGTTATCTAGAAAGAAGAGGAATTCTAAAACGTGAGAGGCTTTATAAATGTTTAGATTAAAAAAAAAAAAAACTAAATTTATATAATGCTACAGCTACAAATGGTATCAGTTACATTCATTCATTACATTTTTTCCCCAGAAACGGGGAAAGAAACTACTTGAATTAAACACTAAGAAAATGCAGTGTGACTACTGGGAACAGTTCGAAGGGTACTTCTATCAGGAAAAGCAACTCCTGGAGGTAATTGTTGAACCACCAGCAGTGAAAATCTAAAATCTGTAGTAGCTAACATGTCTCCAATATCTCCAAGTTCAGGGCATTCACTCCAATCTGTTAGTCCTTGTATAATCGGCGATTCCGGGTCGTGTTGTCTTCCAACTATGCACATATTACAACCATCCTCCAAAGAGCGAAGTACCCTTGTTGTGCAAACGGCGTCTCTCGCGATTTCTTCCTTGAAGAACACTCTCTCATTGGCAATGGTATTAGCCCTGAATTGTCTGATCATGTCATAGTCTATATCATCCTCGATTTCACTTGCGACTTTGCCATAGCCGATCCATGTTAGCCAAACCAATGTTAGGTTTATGTTTGGATGTCCAACCATCCGGCTCGCGTATGCCAGTGCCTCGCGATCATCTGGACCGCCGATGTAAAGCACAGTGATGTAGAACCTTGCGTTGGCGATGCTTAGGTTTCCAGCTACATGTCCGCGGTCAACTAGGATGCCAACTGAGCAAGGAGCTTTCTGAATGACTTTCTGATTAACTGTCCTAATCGCGGGCAAGTTTGTTCCGATGGTTCCATCTATTTCCCAGATTTTGTGGAAAGGAAGGATCACAATGTTTGCTCTCACATCCACGGCAATTGTGCATATATCTACATGCATGCTGGCGTATGGCGCGATGGAAGTAAAATGCTGCATTGTTGTGATACCTGGAATGTTCTGGCAGAAATAGTTGAAGGCTTTTGCTATGTGTTCAGATCTACTCCGCATTGAAGTGAGTCTTCCCCTGTATACATTTCTCTCAAGCACAGCTGCTGCTCTTCCACTTAGCTCCATTAGGTTTAATACGAATACCGACATTGGCGAGGTTCGAGTTGGGTTTGAGGCTTGCAGAAGGTTGATAATTGTTGGGACATTGTCTTCATTGTGGACACAAACCATAACTCGGAGGTCACTTTTGGGATCGGAGAATAAAATGCTATTTGCCGGCTCTGATGAGTATCTTTTTGATGGATCATAAAAGTACCATACTACAGGCCTTGCAATTCCTGTCACAATCAGCATTGTGATCAACAGAAGCGCATATGTTTCCTCGTCTATCAACTGTTGCACATGAATACCAAAAAAAAAAAGTAAGTTAATAAAACAGGATCTTTTCATAACATAACAGAAATGAAAACATTGGAAGTCATAATAACAAAATCAAAAAATGTATGTGTATACCTTGTCTTCCTTCAACATTATATATATAGTAATCTCGATGATCCCTTTGCAGCACATGATGGAAGCAAGACAGATAGCATCAACTAAAGGTGTCTGGAAATAAAGTGACGAAAGCAGAACGCCGGCGAATTTGCCTAAGTAGCCCAACAGGATGACCACTTCAATCAGGAAGGTTTGCTCATTTTTGTTTATTGAGAATAGGTCCATAGATAAGCCAGTGACAGCGAATTTGGCCGGAAGTAACAGGCCGGTACAGAATGTGTCAATCTTTTGTATGATGTAAGATCCTACAGGTGGTCCATCAGGGATCGCTATGCCAAAAATGAATGCTCCGATTCCAGCAGGCACGCCTATGAGTTCAGTGAAAAAACCACACGTCAACGCTGCCAGAATAATCGACAAGAACTGGAATTCCTTCAAAGGTGTTCCTTCTGGTATAGATCTAGCCAAATATACCATCCACGGCCGGGCCACATAACTAAAAAGAATCGTTAGGCACGCGCCCCAAACGAGGTACCACCACACGGCGTTCCATTGTCTGTAGCGTATGATGGAGCTCATTATAGTCTGTATGGCATACACAATGTAATTGCAGATCTCATTAACTGAACAAGCTAACGTGGCTATCCGCCCGATGTCTGAGTTGAGAATGTTGAGGTCAGAAAGTAAGCCGGTAATCACTGGGAACGAAGAGAGTGAGTTTATGGTAACTATACGAAGGATGGACTCTTGTATTTCTCCATCAAACTCCATCAAACGAGGTAGGATAAAGGCTGAAAATATCCCAACTGTGAGTGGCAACACAAAACCTGTTAGCCCTATTGCGACGGCATCTTTTCGGGTTTTCTTCACCAGGGATGGATCGATGTTTATTCCCAGTGTGAATAGATGGAAAAGAAAGCCAAAATCAGCAGCGGTTTCAATTGTTAGTCTACCTCCTGGAGGAAAAAGGACCTCAGTAAAATGTCCAATCCGTCCCATAAACGATTTTCCAATTATGATTCCTGTCTATTGGCAAATAGATGAAAACAAAAGAACGATCACAAACAAAATAGAATACGAATTTCCCACATACGCAAAACAAAAAACAGGACAAATTTTTTTCTCTTTTTTTTAGATTCTAAACAGAACAAAAAGTTTGATCCAAACTCATTTGCTAAAATTCCCTAAACAGAAATCTAGACAGACATATAATCTGGGGAAAAAAAATTAAATAAATAAATAAATTGTGGATTCCCTGTCTCCCCATAATCTGATGAAGAAATGAAATGACCAAAAACGGAGAAAAAGAGCTTACAATAAGTTGGGCACTGAGCATACTTTGTTTAAGAGGTTCCAGGAGTAAATAAATTGTTCTTGAAATGGAGACCACAATAGAAAGCTGTGCCAAGAGAACTGGAAGGGTGAAAGAAAATGGATCTCCACCATTCCATATATAACCTCCTGAACTCATCATATCTGTGTATTGGCACACCAGAATTTCTTGTCGGAATCTTCCCGGGACGGTCCCGGATACGGATGACACTTTTCTTGGCGCCATTTTTTTCTTCTTCCTCTTCCTCTTTTTTGCCTTCAAATATTATTAATTAATATAATCAAAAATATGTACAGAATGTACATATCCTGTAAGAACATCATAGAAATTATGCAAGGAGAAAAACCAGGATGAACAAACACAGAAATTTTTAGTTGGAAGAAAACTAGAAGAGCATTGAAGAGGGAAGGAAAATGAAAATGAGGGAGATGGATAAGCGCGAGAAATGGAAGTTAGTTAATACTGTTATAAGTACTTAGTTTTCATTGATTTGCCTTTCTACGTTTCATTTTGGTTTATTTTATTAAAAGAAAAATAATTTACTCTTTTTATTTTACATACCTAGTCATGTGCTATATTTCATTATTTAGTTAGATGAAATTTATGCACTTACAAAACAATTTTTTTTCCCCTCTTATTTGATTTGAATAGTAACAATAATATATTTGTTATAAAATGTTAATGTAGAATTGTTGATTGATTTTTGTTTGTGGCATGATTTCTCCGAATAGTGCTCCTTCCACTACATATCCTCCATTTGCTCTGTAGCACACCTTATATCCTGCAACTGTTTCATTGAGAAATAAACATTTTTTTTTCCCAATTTTAGGGGATGGCTGTCGTAGTAATTTTGTAGGAGGTAAGAGAGGATGAAAGAGATAAGAAATTAGGATTTTTTTTTGCCCCATAATTTATTAAATTTGAATTGAATAACTTGTGGATGAATAGCTTTGGCTCACGAATCACACTCCAATAATACCATTTTATGATGGACAGATGATTTTTATTTAGACCAAAAGGAGGAATAACACTAGTTCCTGACAAAATGTAGAAGACCAATCAATCAAAGAGTAAATCCTATACTTTTCTATCTAGGTTTTAGAAACTTCTTTTCTTTGTACATCAGTCCTAATAATGTTCATGTTTCATGCATCATAACTGAAGCAGGATTCACTGTGGGGTGTTTTAGGGGGAAAAAAAAAAAAAAAAAAAAAAAAGGAGCCCGAAATTTGTGTTAAAAAAAAATGGTAAGTAAAAATGAATTTAGTATCCAGCCTATAACAAGACTTTCCTCAAGTGAGTTGATTCCTCAGGATCCCTGAGTCCCCACAGTTTGGTCTGTTGCTGAACCACCAGTATGGTGGCCTCACCTCCACAATCTGAGGCAGTAAGTATTTCTCCTATGGCCCCTAAATCCCCACTCTGATGCCATTTCCTCAGCTGAGTCATGATCGGCGAGCCCCCGTGTCGTTTTCCAACCATCACCAGATCATATGCACTACATACTGATCTAGTCATAGAAACCACATCTTTCCCTTGTGTCACAACATTCTCCTGATACGAAATCGGCCTCTTGAACTGTATGCTATGCTTCGTCTCTGTTAGGAGTTCTGCGTCCAGTGTTTTGCTTCTCTCACTGCCACCTACAATGCTGTTTGACCTGGAGTCTGTGAAGCATAGAAGATTCAGCTGAACAAATGAATTCTCTGCCATTCGACGCGCATATGCTAGCGCTTCTCTATCATCCGCGCCTCCAAAAAATAGGACGGCCACTTGATATAACGAAGGCTGTGATATTACATAGCGCGATTTCTTTAGGCTTCCGCGATCGATGACTATTCCCACGGAGCAGGGAGCTTTCTCTAGCACATTCCTGTTCAAATGCCTGTATGCATAAGATGTTTCTACCCTTTGCCCAAGGATCCATTGCTCATGGAAAGGGATTAGTATGAGAATGGTCCTCTTCTCTAATGCAAGAGAGCAGACATCGTCATGCATAGTTGCATAAGGCGAGATAGCTTTGTAGCCATGAGTCATTATAAAGCCGAGGTGTTGCTCCTCAAGCTTCTTGAATGCATTGAGAATCCGTTCGGTTTGTGTAGGATTCGAGGAAGAATTGTTGTGATCGCTTTGAACTACTAACAACGAAGAAGCACGGCCCATGAGTTTAGTAAGATGGAGAATAACCAGGTTGATAGGACTGTCCTTGGATGGATTGGAGACCTGGAGGATTCTGATGATTGCCGGAACATTTTCTTGACTATGAATGCAAGCAAGGATCCGGAGTTCTTCGTTGTATCTGCTATGTTGTAAAGTTCTCCTCTTGTAAGCGATGTATCTTCTCGATGGGTCGTAAAGGACTTTCACAAGAGGTGAGACAAAGCCTGTTATGGCTACTACAGAGATTATGCATATGGTATAGCCTTCTTGAGTAATCACCTGGTTCAAAGGCAGGCTTTAAATTAACATTTAATCACCGGAGAGTGATGGCCTAATTCTACCAATCTGATTCATAGTGTGTAGAACAAAAGAAGTTTTACGGCATACCTCTGATCTTTGGAAATCGTTTAAGAAAGCTAGTTCAACAATCCCTTTGGAGTTCATAATGAGAGCAAGAGAAAAGGCATCTCTGAATGGCATTCTGCAGAACAGAAGGGGTAACATAGTCCCCATGGTCTTGCCAAGAAAAACAACAAAAAACACCAACTGCAAGAAGCCTACATTTTTGTACTTCTGGATTGAAAAGACATCCATTTGCAAACCACAGGAAATGAAAAAGAGTGGCATGAGCAGTACAGATACGAAGCAATCCAGTCTTTCGACCAAAGCAGCTCCCAGTGGTGGACCATCAGGTATAACCAAGCCGAAAACAAGAGATGCAACAAGAGCGTTAACACCGATTGCTCCCCCGGTAAACCCAAAGGCCATTAGCACAAGAAGAACTGAAATGATATAAACCTCTTTCACAGGTTTCCCTTCTGGGGTCTTTCGGATAGCCCAACTAGCCGCTGGACGAACTCCATACAGTATCAGAACAGTAAACAGGATACCTGATAGCAAGGATCCTACAGTTACATTCACTGATTTGGTCTGGGCTATCTTTACAGCAAACTTAATAGACAATACGGCCCAGAGGCAGACATCAGAGATAATCGAAGAAGAAGATGCTAACCGTCCAATCTCCGAGTTAAGGATCTTCAGCTCTTCCAGAAAGCAAGTAACAACTGGAAAAGCTGTCATGGATTGCATCTCTACAACATAATGCAGTGCCTTGGTTATTCCGGCATCCAAACCCGAAGATCGCTCGATGAAAAAGGTAACTAAATTGGCTAGTCCATAAGGTATGAAGAAGGCCAAGACTCCTACAGCTAAAGCTTTCTTCCCGGATCTTAAAACTATAGTTGGATCCACTTTCACTCCAATCATAAAAATGAAAAGCATCAAGCCGAAAATCGACAATGTGTCGATAACCACACGGCCTTTAGTTGGGAATACTGTCTGCAAGAATGTCAAATTCTGCCCCAGAATTGAAGGACCTAATATCACACCACCCTGGACAAAATAAGTACAAAAAATGCAAGCATGAATTTCACCCCAACCAAACTAACTAGGGATTTCAAATTCCCATGACTTGATAACCCTAAAGAAAGATCACATTTTTACTTCACATTTCTCAAATTCCATCAAGCACAAACAGAGCAAAATACCAAACCAAATAACAAAACAATATTTTAGGGATAGAATGAATGCTTACGAGTATCTGAGACACAATAGAAGGCTGCCCCAAAGGTTTGAGAAGAAAGTGAACACCACGGGTGATGATTGAAATGAGGGAAAGCTGCAACAATAACAACGGAACCGAATAACTAAAAGGGTCATCCCTTAACAATACGCCCCTGGAATTGATCTGATTCACAAAATGACAGAGGTAGGAGGTCTTAAAATCCCCAAAATTTACGGCTGACCCCGCCTCAATCATCTTGGTATCTCTGTGCATCGATGTTCTTCTTCTTCTTCTTCTAATCATACATTCAAAAGAGAGGAGGTAAAAGAAAGATGGGATGGATTCAAAATCAAAACTTGGTTAGAAAAATGCAAACTTTTTCTCCAAGACCCTGTTTGTGAATATTGAGTGGTGTGATTGGTAATTGAATGAAACGTGAGATGGAATGATGCATTGGTGGATTTAGTTGACAGGGATAAGATGGATTTGATGGAGGAGCAATATGATTGGAATTGCATGAACATGAGAAAAAATGGCGCATTCATTATATATGTTTAAGAAATCTTAAAGACCAAATTGGTAAAGTGAATACTGTTCATGCCATCGCTGGCTTACAATTTTACTAAAAAGGAACAAATCTATTCTGATTTCTGAGCCTTTATCGGTCCATCCTCGGTCCATGCTCATGCGGATTGTCCATCATATCAAAGTTTATTTTTCGAATTAATCACCCCACCATTCCCTCCCCCCACCCCCCAAAAAACTACTAATCTCCCTAATGGCTAAATCTTAACATAATTCGTGACTGTCTCAAAAAAAAAAAAGCAAAATCTAACAATGATGTGATTTCTTACTGTCATTTCTCATGCATTTCAAGGGAAGAAAAAGCAGGAATGACATTCAAATCTCTCGAAGAAACTTTAGAAACATAGTTTTGTTAATGGACCCATCAATAAGGTTTGATATAGAGAGAGAGAGGAAAAAAAAACATCATCCATGTTCTTCTCCCCAACTGAATGAACTAAGATACTACACTTCAGAGTTTACTCTGCAAGTTGAGCTCCTTCTTGAACTGATCCCTTAAAACTCTTCTCAGCAGCTTGTTCCACGCTGTTCGAGGAAACTCCGGAACAATCTTCAGTCTTCACAAAGCTTACCTACAAAAAAATGAGTTGATATATAGTATGATCAACCTGTATAACATAACCATGAAAAAAAACAACAACAGAGGAGAAGTTTGTTAAAAAACCTTAAAGAGAGGGTTGAGGTTGGTCTGAATTGCTCTTGACAATTTCATCCTCAGCTCCTCTGGTGTGGAGTTGATTCCTTCCTTTAGCACTATAAATATAGCTAAGCGCTCGGGGCCGCCATCTGGTGGTGGAGAGCTAACCGCAGCCGTTTCCAAGATACCATCATCAACCCGATTACATACACGTTCAATTTCAAATGAACTTGCCTGTGAAAGAAATAACACACGTGAAGAAAGTATAACCTGATTCATCGACTTGGTTGTGTAATACATAGATGAGACCTAAATGCTGGTCAGAACAAGAGAGAGTTCCCAAATGAAAAGTATGTCAAACAATGTAAGATAGAGTGAGAGATTGAGTGATGTACCTTTATGCTGCCTAAATTCATGGTATCATCAGCCCTGCCTTGAATGATGAAAAAACCACCAACAGTTCTTTTAAGGATGTCGCCATGTCTCCCTAAGTTGCTGAAAGAAAAATAATCAAGTTAGAGAGCATGATTTGGGGAAAATAAGAAGTAGAACAGATATTTGAAGACAGCAACTGGGATTACCATTCCTTTGTGTATTGGCATGCCCTTAAAATACACATCCTCATGATCCGCGTTTAACAAGTGATTAGTTGCTCCCATAAAGAGAGGAAAGAGCCCCACTTCGCCCTCACAAGGTTGATCATCTGGCTGTCACAGATGAAAAAAGTCTGAAGTTTTAAATTGTTTTGACCAAGGAATCTCTTAGTTTCCTAGGAAATGACAGCCGGAGGTTCAGGCATGAGTTCTTACATAAGGAATTCCATTTTCATCTAGGATGACAAAGCCAGTGGACATTTGAGGCGGAGCTACATGCTGCAAAGGCTTGTGGTTGTAAAAGGTTTCCTTGGATGTAAGCTGATGCGAGCTCTGTGCCTCCACAGAGCTCAACAATAGGCTTGTAGTATGCCTTTGAAGAAAGCCAAAGATCATCATCTACGTTGGAGGCTTCCCCCGAGGTTGCAAAAGTCCTAGCAAAGCTTATACATATAAGCAATTTACACATCATCATCATATAAGCAAAAAAGTGGATCATCATCAAGTATAGCTGAAAATTTTTTGTGACTTGCCTTATTTTTGTCCAGTTAGGGCCATCCATACATTTTGTACTCCTCCAGGTCTTAACTAAGCTTGGAACTGTGCCCAATACAGTCACTCCTGCATCCTGACAATGCGCATTACATTAGAGCAGAAGAAAGTGTTGTTCTAAGATGACGAACATGACAGTGGAAACGAGAAGTGTCATTACTTCATCTGATACAGGAAGTAACCTATGATCACCTGAACAAATTTCCCAAAGTTGCGGCCAAGAGGAGATACGTGGTAGAGAGCAAGGGTCGCACCAGATAGAAAGCATGAATAGAGCAAAACTTTCCCCATCACCCATCCTAAATTCGTTGGCCAGCAGAAAACATCTCCCACTTGGACATCGAGATGTGCCCATGTATCAGCAGCACATCGAATGGGAGCATGCTGTGTCCAAGGTATGGCTTTTGGATCACCTGTGAAAAGCTAAAAACCACAAATGAACAAAACATGTAGGGGGTCCATAAAGATTAGCATTAATAGCAATGACAAAGAAGTTAACCTGTAGTTCCTGATGAAAATAAAATATCAGTGATAGACTCTATCGGTTGATAAACCGGCTAGTAGGATTTGGAACTGCAAAAATTGGAGTGATTTCAAATTTCAATTCAAGAAATTGCTAAATATGAAGAGAGGAAATCCTTCCACGATATGTCCTGGTTTCGAAGCTTGACTGCTAAATCCTTCCCAATACAAGGAAGTACAATAGTTTTGTTAGGTGCGGCTTTCACAACTCGACTGCAAATAGCTATTTGATCATGATCTGGATAGACTGTGCATGGGAACCAGCAAAATGTATATGCTTGGACATTATCGAATTGCTCCCAATCATGCTACCTTTTTGAAAAAGGACTTTTTTCATGAACTTCTACAAAAACTTGTATACTCTTGAAGAAGTAAACATTTAGAGCAAGACATCTTATGTTGAATTCAGCATACAACTCGAATAAGTTCATAAACTGACTTCCTCATTCAGTTACATCCAGCAATAGTAGTATAAAAGCATGCATTTACGGAAAACATCTGGAAAACCAGGAATGAGTTAAGAGATTAAGCAAAATAGTCTACGTTTAATGATTCTGAAAGAAGGGTTTAAATGATTAAGTTCTATGCATAGCTCAGTAATCTGGCATCATTAGCATTGATCGATGCCTGATTACTTACTGAGCTTATGTATAGAACTTAATTGATAAAATTATCTGAAATGCGATTTATACCTGTATAGGGGAATCCTTTGACCTCCTCTTACTATGAAATCCTGTTTTTTTGACGAAGATCAAAGCAAAATCAGGCTATGGAAAAGGACACAGTCCCAAGACAGTTGAAAACTTAACCCAGGGAACCAACAATATTATTTTCTTATTCTACACAGAAATGAAGACTTAATTCGTAACTGATTACCTGAGTAAAGATAGCCTTTGCTTCAGATACGCGCAATCGGGTTGCTATCTCCTTTGCTGCAAAGCTGTCAGCAATTGAAACAACAACTAATCCTGCAAGTACAATGGCCAGATAAATGATGACTGCAGTGGCTTTCATTGGCATATCTATAGCAATTGCATCTCCTTTGGAGAAATTTGCGTCCAGTGCATTTGCAACTAACCTGCAAAGTTGATGCAACTCAGTAAGAAAAGAGTATTACTGCGATGAACAAATGCCAGTGATCAGAATTATAGCACCCGATATAGCTACACATCATGCAAGCTTCGTGTAGAATAGACTTAACTCGAAATAGTGAATCAGATGTGGCTTACATTACTTGTTCCCAAAGCTCCTTTAATGTCATCCGATTGACATCCAGATCATCACTCCCTTCATCTCTCCATATTATGGCTAAACTGTTGTCTTGTTTCTTGGGCCAACTAGTTGACAGCAAGCAACACTCGGCGATATTCAACACCGAACCAGGAAACCATGCTCCACCACGTTGTGATTTGTCAGAAGTTTCAAGAATGCATTTTGGAGATTTAAGAAATTGAATTGATAGCTGATCCAGAACAATTGACCAGTAAGCCTGCACATCCTCAAATAGGTCAATTCCACTCCAAAAAAAAAAAAAAAAGATTTAAATCCCAAAACTAGAACTCATGGAAGAAGCAGTGAACAAAATGTGGATGGTTATGGTATGTTATGGAACATCCAAATAAGCACATGCCTGTGGATGCTGAACTGAGAATTTGTGGAATTGTTTGAAACTGGCTATTGGATCCTTATATACTTCTCCAAGAAGCTTTCGGCCATGAGTTTCCATTAGGCGTCCCAAGTTGTGTGCTTTGACTGGTGTCTAACATGAAAAAATGCTACTAACATCAAACTGAATACGAAAATGAGTATCTGGATCAAGAAAACTAGATCACCCTGAGCATGGAAATCCTTGAGGTCTTGCGACAAAAGTACAGACAGAGGTAAGACACTACAGAAAATATCTTGTTCAAGTAAGGTCGTCAACAAGAAGTACATCTATATGTTACTTTTTATTTGATCCCCGAGAAAAATTACCAAACTAACATGTCTGCACTTTCCAGGCATTTTACTTTTGCTTACTGTTTAGAGTGAAATATTTCAAGTGAGAATCCTGATGCAGAACTGTCTGAAAATTAGAAAGTGTTCCAAAAGGTTCCTAATCTTTAAGTTTGACAAATTCACAAAAAGCAATTGAGAAACACCAGAATCATAACCGACTGACTTAAAAAAAACAACACTACTATTGGCTCTGGCAGAACACCCCTTAATGCCATAAACAAAAACTTACAAAGATTGACTCTAGAAACTGATCCTTGTAATCAGCATCACTTACAAAGATTCGACCCAAAAAAATAAAAATAAAAAAAAACAAAAAAAATTCCAACTTCACAAACAACCCTTTATAACCACTTTCTGAATAACACAAATTAAATAAGGAAATAAAACAATAAAAAGAGGGATTTGACAGAATTGGATCGTGAAAGAAAAAAAAATAAATTTACAGAGAAGGAAACCAGTAAATGGGAGGCCCAAAAGAGGATTGGTCGTAGTCATGATACACAGAGTAGTATATAAGCTGATGAAGTGAATGTGGGTGCCATGGTTTCAACGCCTTCTTCTGCGCTGTCAAATCCCTCCACAATGCTTTTGAATCCAAAGTGCTGCTTCTCATAGCTTTAAAGCTTGAATCTTTGATCTCAATTAGGAACCCATTTGCCTCCTCAACTGATAGACCTGCTCTTACCAGGTCTTCTACTCCCACTTCACTAATGCTCTTCCCCATTCGATGCCTTTCAGACTCCTATACTTATTGGTTCTTTCTACATTTTTAACTTGCACAAGGTAATACACAAAAGGGAAAATCTTATTTTCAATCCTTGGACCCCTGATTCATCATTTATATATCGATCTCCAGGACTCTCGAAGCACGTGATGCAGTACTATTTTCATCTGAATTGTGAATTGGCATCTTTTCTTCATTTATTATAGTATCTTACAATTGGCAAATTGTTTTGGTTGAGCATGCAGAAGCCCTCTTGCTTACGGTTAGCACCATGGAGTTGACTTGTGTGATGATATGCGCTTAGTGTGAAGTTTTTGGACTTTTGGCTTGGGTAACACTGACCAAAAAAAAAAAAAAACAGAGGGGTTATAAGAACAGTCAGTTTGCCATAAATCCTCACTCAAATGCTTGCCTGTAATACTACAACACAGCCAAGCACCATATGGTTTCTGATTTGAATAATAAAAATTCAGTTTGTATTTTTTATATTTAACATGGAGTACTTTTTTACCGAAAATGAAAATACCGAATCGTTGCCGGACGGAGAGTGTATTTGACATTAGTGTTATTTGATGTTCTTAGAAGATTTATGTTTGTGTGTTCGATTCTTTGAAAAATGAATGTTTTCAATGTCGGGTTTGTAATGCGTTTTCCATCATTTTAAATGTAGTATTAGTAATGGGTCGTTTATTTTAGTAGATATCCAAGTGTTTTATATTTAATAATTATTTACACCTTCATTTGTTCCATACAATTGAAAACCTTTATAGGTATAATAAATTAAATAATTTGAAATCTTTATCCAGTGATTAATTTAGTTAACCCATATATATTCGAACAAAATGCATCAAATATCAATTATAAAAACTATTTATCAAATGAATGTGCCAAGAATATTCTTTTAGAAAGAATTGTATTAGGTTAGAGTTCTTGACATAGTTGAAATTTATAGTAAGAAGACTTCATTGTAACAACTGAGTATATATAGAGTTTAAAAGGTCTGAGAGGGTTGGAAATGCCCTTGCAAACAGGGAGTGGGGTGTCTTTCTGGATGGATATTGTTGTAAAGTATTACTCCCGTCGCGAAATTATTGTCGAGTTTAGAATTTTATTTTAGTATAAATTGAACTAAAAGTATAACTTTAAAATGGACAATAATTTTAGGATGTAGAGAGTAGTATTGAAATATGCATAACGCTCCTAATAAATGACCTAATTCTACCCATCTAATTCATAGTTTTGCGCGGGAAAAAATTACCCCTCGCGCGACGGAGATAGATGGATTGACGGTGATGACAATGATCGGACTGGGACAATTATTTCTTTCATTCTCTAGTTGCTTACCACTTCATCTGATAGAGCTGATTATTTCGTATTAGCTTAACAAGAGAGGGAGGATGCTCAGGTTCAGGCTCATGAAAGATTAACCTTTTAGATGAAGAATGTCAATGCTCAGCTGCAAGATATATTCGCAGATAAGTGTAGCTACTTTGTTATCTGTAACAGTAGGCAAGACCAGAACGTGGATAACTATTTCAGCCTTTATAAAAATTTCTGTTGGAAGGCATTCAACAAAAATACAAAACTATATATCATAATCCTAGGATTAACAAAATTGTGTACTGACTTTCATTTGCCTAATTAAGCACTACTTACAGTCAAGAAGATGGTAGCATGAGCATATGAACAGAGGCGTTTCGACAGACGCACAGGTATGCTACTGTGTATCTGTCACCACCATTGGTGCACTAGAACTCCATTTTTCCTGAGGGAATTAAACAAGTCCAAGCACTGATCATAAGTGTTCTGATATTTAGGGCTCCTAACCCCAGGGCAACACCTCTGCCATCTGTTGTAATGGCATTCAAGAAACATCTCGTCGATCAAACAGATTGCGCCTGTCTCAATCAGCCTCGGGATCAAATGGAACTCGGTTCCTTCTACATCCATTTTCACAAGCACATAATCCTTCTCTGTGACTGTCTCCTTCAACCAAGCTGCGAAATCAAACCCCTGGATCTTATCAGAATTGCCAACAAAATTACTCGACGACTGAACGCCCTGAATCCTACCCATCCCTCTCCCTCTCTCCTCGTTCTTCTTACTTGGTTCCCGGTTGATCTCAAAGAATAAGGTCTCATTCCTCACCCAAGCTGCATAAGGTAAGAACTTGACCCCTTTTCTGGACTTGTAATCATCATAAAAAGCCTTATCAGCCTCAATAGCATATACCTCAAATGTCTTGTTCTGTTTCGGGTATTGCTTCTTGAACCAGCTGCCAATGCTTGAACCATAACTTCTTGCTCCAACATCCACATACACATACCTGTTCTTGAACCTTATATCAACCATTGAAGACAGATACTTGACATTCTTTATGTTCCTTTTCAAGGCTAGCCAGGGTTTCAATGGTTCTTCCCCAATCAATGGCTCTGCATTACGTAGTATTTCATGTTTATACTCCACATCATTGCACATATTGTTCATCAATTTCCCATCTACAGCATCAGTGTTTCTCCTTTTATTAACAGCTAGTTCATTCTGTTTTTGCAACACAATTTCACGAACCCAAGGTAATGATGAATCCACCCCATTGATCTCACGCGATCGAACCAAGTCAAAAGAACTGAACAACCGAAGTAAGGAATGGAAACTGTACTCATCTTTGGACGTGGTGTGGACCACAAAGAATCCCCCTGGTTTTAGCGTTCTTGAAACCTCCGAAGCAAATTCCGCCGGTTTAACCGCCCTGTCCAAACCAGAATGCCCGGAAAACTCAAAATCAAAGTTATTAGTACTGAAAGGGTGACGGGAAGCCAGACCATACCGAACCAAAGGCGGAGATGCTTTCCTAGAAATTCCGATGGAATTGGTAACTCCAATATCAATCAACGCCCCGACGTCCTGACCCGTTGGGGTCTCGATGCAGATGCAATTGGAGTCCGGCCACAAGAAGCCCTCGGCAATTAAATCTTGAAACACGGAGGAGTAAAAGCTGCGGAGGCCGGCGGCGGAGGCGGAGGAGGTGGCGGTATCGCCGTCGGCGGCGGGGGCGTCGTGCTTTAGGGTTTCGCCGAAGAAGCAAAATTCGCTGGCGGAATCGCAAGCTTTGCCTTTGACGGTGATTACGTAAGCGGAGCGAGCCAGGAGGACGAGGACTCCGAAGGAAAGGAGGCGGATGAAGATATTGCTGAGGAGGTTGGGTTTCGGCAGAGCCGCTTCCATGGAAGACGCCCTCATCATTTGAATCGTCCCCAAAAAAAATCGCTTGATTTTTAACACAGAAAGGAAAAAGGGGGAGAAATTCTTCTAATAAACATGGGAAATTCTGTAACCAGATTTCGGCAATGATTATTAAAGAGAGGTTAATTTGATTGGCGCCAGAAATCAGAAATTTGAGAGGATAAAAAAAACAGGAACGAAATATATTCTGTATTAGAAAATTTTCAGGGGGCGGTTAAGAAGTGCATAGCCGTTAGGATGTGGGCCCCCAAGATCGCCTATCCATACGGGCCTGGTTCTGTTGGCCCAAGTATATATTTTCCCACGGCCCGTAGTTCTGGTGTTCTTTCTTTCTTTTTTTCTTTTTTTTGGATAAATTCTCTGCATTATTTCTTTATTCATAGCCAAGAAAATATTGCTTCCATTAGAAAATCAGTCTTATCTTGAAGTAATTGAACTTTCAACAAACAAGACTCTTAGAATGATGCCAATATTATTCTTGTGAATTTTTCACTCATTTGACCATTGCAATTCTCATATTAATGAAACAATTAATTAGATGATGGTAAGTTACATGTTTCATAAATTAAAATTAATTCCCATGTGTGAGTTACATGTTCAGATGTTCTCCACCGTTCAATTTGAGTACTCTCCATATTCAATTTTTCATTACTATACTCAATATTAGTGATAAGTTGCTACCTGATCATCTTCTGTCAAATTAATGTTGAGATACAACACAATGTTAGAAGTAACCCGAGAAAAGTTTTTCACTTTTCACTTTTCAAGGTTGCTTCGTTAAAAGTTAGAACAACTCCACGAGTTTTGTGTACAGTTTTCTTAAGCTTAGAATTTCTCAAGCTCATAATATTGCAAATTCTAGCATATAATCACTCGACAATGGCACCTTTCCGGATGATCTTCTGGATCCTGTTAGGAGTGCATTTCTGTATCTCACTGAATTGCATCGAATGTAGCGGCCAAAGGACGCCGAAATTCCCTGCTATTTTGGTGTTTGGTGACTCTGCTTTTGATACAGGCAACAACAATTACATAACAACTGTATTCAAAGCGAATTACTTTCCGTATGGCCTGAATTACCCGGGCCGTGTTTCCACTGGAAGGTATTCAGATGGAAAACTCATTCCTGACTTGTTAGCTTCCTCATTCGGCATCAAAGAAGCTGTTCCTCCTTTCCTGCAGCCCAACCTATCAGATCAGGAGCTCCTCACGGGCGTCTGTTTCGCATCAGCTGGATCAGGTTTGGATGATCAGACTACAGTGCTGTCCAACTCCATCCCAATGTCCAAGCAACCTGACTTGTTTCGGAAGTATTTGGACAGGCTTAATGAGATTGTTAAACCGGAGGAGGCTCAGAGAATAGTTCGGGAGGCTTTGGTGGTTATCCATGCCGGAACTGTTGATTTCATGTACAATTTCTATATCCTGCGGAGCTTTAGAATGGTTCAATTCAGCCTGAGTCAGTATCAAGATTTTCTGCTGAAAAATCTGCAGAGTTTCTTAAAGGCTAGTTCCTGATCTGTTCTCTGATTCTGTCACTGCTTAATAAAATTTTCAATCCTGTTCTTAACTCACAACAGGAAATATGCAGGAAATATATGATCTTGGATGCCGACATATAGTGGTCTGTGGACTTCCTCCCATGGGATGCATGCCACTGTTAAAAAGTGCCCAATTTCATCCGTTTTCAAGAACATGTTTGGAAAATGTAAATTCAGTTGCGCAATCTTACAATGGGAAGCTCAAAAATTTGCTGCAAGAAGCACATTCAGAGCTTCCAGGAAGCAAGATTCTTTATGCAGATACTTACAATCCCTTACTACACATGATCCAAAACCCAACAAGATACGGTAAAAGCATCAAATTTTAGGCTAACTTTTCCCATCCAATGGGACATGTGACCAGTTCTTACAACTTGATCTTTACGAATGGTGACAGGGTTCAAGGAAACTGCAAGAGGATGCTGTGGAACTGGAACTTTTGAAGGAAACCAATTGTGTAACATCTTTACTCCGATCTGTTCCAACCCATCACAGCATATATGGTGGGATAGTATGCATCCAACTGAAGCTGTCTACAGACATCTTAATCACCAATTTATACCCCCACTTCATATGTTGATCTCAGCATCAGAATGACAGGTCGCAATTCAAAGTTTAGGGAGCTTTCTAATTCTAGTCTAACGCTTCACTTGATTTTTTGTACTTGTACAATTTTCATTTTTGACCTTTATGTGTTTCTGTTTCTTGATTCATATTCTTGAAATTGTGCGATATTTTCCGTAAAAACTTTCTCTCAATTTTTTTAAGCAAGCAGTCTATCACAGATTCACTGACCAAATAAATGCTATCATCTTCAATTCATTGGTTCTTTTGTTTTGCTTTTTTTTTCCTTTTTTTTTTTTTTGGAGTATGCAGATGGTTACAGAATTTACATCTTTTATTGAATGACTAGTTAAGAATGATTAATGGCCGTCTTAAAATCAAACTATCCACCCATTCTTTTACTCAGGATGGAGGGATTACTATTTACCTTGGACTTCACAAATAGCCATATCATATGCACAGAAGATAACCATATCATGGGATCAAACATACCCTTCCTCCAGAAAGATGAGTGCCACCAACTAATTACATTAATTATCATTTGTTCGAATGTTGAGAAACATAATCTCTGATGCTGAATGTTAACAATGTAATGCTAGTAAAGTTATTATGTATGATGCAGACACAAAACACAAAACGGCGAGGGGCCGAAACTGCTAAACAACTGCAGCATGGATAATGTTTCCAGTTGATGAGTAAAATGTAATCAAGATATCAAATACAAGTACATTTGCACAAGCAAATCCATCTGAAGATATCAAAATTAATTAACTCAAAATCTACAATCCACATTTTCCAGAAAAACAGAGAAAATTCTCCAGTTACACCAGAAAACCTACTTAAAATCATCTAGAATACAGACCTAAATAGTTGTTATACAAAACTAATTGTTGGGGCGTTTGTTTCCCCTCACTGGTTTTCTGTACACAAACAAAAGCATCCAATCTACTCGGATACTCTTAAGCTTGAAGATATCCCTCATAACTTACAAGCCTATGTATTACCAGTACTGAACCAGTTCCACAACAGAGAAAAAAAAGGCAATAAGCGACTAAGATGCATACACAGACAACAAATTGTCATCAATAATGCTTTGCTTACATACATGTTACAACAGAACTACTTACTGGTATACTTGCTTACATGCATTTGCTGCTCTCATTTTCTGCCCGCACTAGATCCACCACTTCCACAAAACAGCTGATTTATTCGTGCCTCAAGGTCTTCAACACTATACTTGATGTATTTATCTGCATGCTTCCCGGACTCTGGACTAGACTGAAACCTTCCAATGAAGTTGCGATAAGCTGGTGATAAATTCCCAGCAACTGATATCCGCAATTCATCCCTCAACTGCTCGTCAAATACCACCCAATTAGATTGAGTTCTACAGGTTTCTTCAAAGTACGTATTGAACAACTTGAGCTTCTCTTTCATACTCTTTGGTGTTCCATTGGGAGACAATGCACTGTTATCAATTCTCAAAACCCCCAAAACTTTGCTCCACGAACTCCTCTGATAATTCACATGATACTGCCTGACTTTAGCAGTATGTTTCCGAATCCAATCATCCCCTAACAGTGATCCCAATTCATTATCCCTCACCTTCTGAACAATGTACCTCCCATTGTTCATCATGAACACAGAGGACAAAGCAGAATCCCTATAAACCTTAGACTTTGCCTCCAAATTAGTCTCCAACAACTCCATACTCCAAGCCATCTGAACCGCTAAGGGCGAAGATGATGACAACCCTCTCTCATCACCTTTCATATAATCCCCATTCCTGCTACCCGGAGGAGCAACAGTATCCTCAAAAACCTGTTCCAATGTTATCCTAGACCGACAAGCAGCACGGAGATAATTCATCACGTACCGCGTGATGGGGTGTAATCCTCCACCAGGTACTGCAGCCTTTGCAGGATCACGACGGATCAAATTCTCCAGCTCCATAAATATCCCTCTAATGGCTTCCCCAAGCCTTTTCCATATAGTTACAGCCTCATTTCTCAAAAGTACACAGTGTTGATCAGAAAATATCAACTCAAATTCAGGCATTAAATCCCTAATAGTTTCGTAAACATCAAGTACCTTAAACAATCTCTCCGGGGCACGGCTACCAATGGCAACCGCGTCAGCGAAATTCAGTAACTGTATAGTCGATCCTCTGACAACCTCCATAAACGAGAGGTCAGCAGCAGAGGAAAAGCCGAAAAACACCCGGTCACAAAGGCGACGTTCACTGGGGAAGAGTATCCTTAACGCTACATTGATACCTTTAACCCACTTATCAATCTCATCTTCAATCTCCGTCCACTGCATTTTATGAATTTCATCGATACTAAACTTCTGCAATTGCAACCGGGAGAAGCTCTCCTCGAGAAATTCCCTCCGGCACATGCTGTAAGCGTGGGAACACTCTTTCCCATACCCCGCCTCCACCATCCTCTTGGCGATCTCGTGTAAATCGTCGATTATCCCCGCCGGGAGCGCGTCAATGATAATATCATAGTCGGAGATCGGGTGAGCAACTGGGATTTCACTGCCTTCGTCGGGGAATTCATCGACGTCAGATTCCGACGAGTAACTAGGGTTCGCCGCTTCACCGCCGCGCAACCGGGTCAAGTCAAAAGACTCCGTACCCTGATCCATCAGGGCCTTGAACTCCTCCTCAAGCCTAAACATAGCTTTCTGCATAAACTCCTCGGCGCGATCGAGGCAGGAAGCAACCTGCTTATCGTGGGCAAAAGGGGTCCATAAGGAAATGGCAGCGGTCAATTCGTCGACAACATCCAGAAAGGAATTAGCATCCGCAGAGTCAGACCAGATAGGATGGTCAGCCGACACATAAACAGAGATCTGGCGGCCGAGTGACTTCACCGTCTGCTCAAACTTAGCCGAACCCACACCACCGCCGGGGGCGGCGCGTGGAATATCGTCGTCTCCTTCGCCGGGGAGACTATCAGTCAACTTCTCCCGTAACCTGCAGTCGAAGTTGGAGAAGATTTTGAGGATGTCGTCGTCGGTCATGTTATCCGTGTGCCCACCTAGCGTCTTAGCTATGTGGCGGGCCACAGCTATTAACTTGTCCTCGCCGTTTTCCGCCATGGAATTAACAAAAAGAAGATTGAAAAAAATTAATTCGGTGAGTGAGATGAACTTTTTTTTAAAAAAAAAGGAAGTGTGTGATTTCAGTTCGGGGAATCCATGAATAAATTGTACAGTTGGTTGGTTGGGGCTTGTGAGATTGATGAGTGATGAGAGAGAATTGAGTAGAGTTTTGAGTTGAGGAAATGAGGTTCTTTCTTTCTCGGGGGAATTGAGGATTTTGAGATAGATGAGAAATGGTGGGATTCGTCTGGATTTTAGTTTTAGCGGAAATTGAGGGAAGGGGGTGGGGGAGAAAGGAAAGTGGAGTGGGGTGGTCCACTGCTCTCTGGTAAAAGGTGTTTTAGCAAAACGCGTATCCCATTCAGGGTGGGGAAATAGTGAAACACCGATCAAAGACGAAACCAGAGAAAAGTGAAATCCAGGTCTCCTAGGTTTTTTACTGGTGTATAGTAAATTATTTTTACATATACAAGAAATTGGTATACTTAAACTGGACAATAATTACAGAATACAGCATAACAAAATTTTGATTTGTCGTATGTTTCACCTAGTATATATCTTTAAACGAAAAAAAAATCCTTAAAAATATATTTTCACATTTATTGTGTTCTTTTGATAATTGATTGTTAATAAATATTTTTAAGATTTTTTTATCAATTAAAAAATATATATTAAGTGAAATATATGACAAATCAAACTGGCTACGGAGGAATAAAAATCTAAGTGATCACTTTTGACATAAATATTTAGAACTAAGTGGTGGTTCAAGAGTGATTACAACTGAAATGTATTTCTACTATCTAGTGGAGAGACTCAAAATGAAATATTTGAGTTGCTAGTACATTATTTTAAGCCTTCAAAGAAAAATTTAGAAATGAGAGAGGGCATTGAGCTGGTTATTATTGTCCGATGAAACTATTTCGCACGTTGGGGGCTGAGAATCCCTGAGATGCTGATTTGGTACTGTCAGAAAGCATATAATTACTGTATTAGGAAATGACTTAGCACATTCCTTTTTAATTACACTCACACCTGCTACTCAACCTTCTTTTAAGTCTAATGATTAATTAATTAAACTAATGACGTTCATTGTTTATCCCAAGTCTTTGCCGCTAAATAGTTAAATCAATTTTGGCTGGTAGCAGTTTTCAACTACAGGTGGTGTCTGGCTAAAGTAAACAATAGGTTTGACTCGTCACATCTCTCAAATAAACTTAATTTAAATACATAATCCGATCGTCCCAAAATAATAAATTTTAATTTTTATAATAATGATATCATTCGTAGTAGAAGTAGTAAAACTAAATGCTAAAAGGTAAAACTGAATAATGACTTGAAAAATACATTTTCCGTTGTGAAATAGCAAAAAATATAGCCAGGATTTAGTCCAACCTGCAAGTTGCCCTTAGCTATGTCTGGGCAAATTTCTGTTTTTGAAATTTCTTAAATCGAAGAAGATAGAGAGAGACGGTTTGATTGTTTTGTTGGAGCGTTGGAAGGTCAAACACTCTTCCCATGTGGACAACCAAATAGAAGAAGTGCTATAAAAATTAGGAGAAGTGCTGGTTTTTAGAGGTTAATACTTATTATTAAACCCCGTCAATTTATTCATATTAGACACGCTGTACATTTTAGTGTAAATTCAATATTACAATCAAAAAGTTTCACTTTTACCCTTTGCATAATCATATTAGCTTGTGTGATAATAAGATTTTAAGTGAACTTTCTCGATGTCCGTAAAACAAATTCCGCCCTGGCATGGAATGAGAAAATTTATATATGGACATAGAAACATTATTTTAGTGTAATTATTTGTTCATTAATCTAGTCTTGTTTGATATATCACCAATTAAATAGTTTCATAAAGCTCAAGCTAACAATTTCTTAAAAAAGGGCACCAATAATAATGTTTGAGCTGATCAAAGCAGTTTAGGAAATGCAAAAACAAAAATAACGAATAAATAAAAGGTTGTTTCTATGAGCATTGCACCCGGTATTTCTTCAGCATATTGATTTAGGTTAGATTGGGAACTTGACCTAGTTTGTTAATCAAACCAAATCCCCCAAGTTGCAACAAATTGAGCGTGTGGGGGGATGTTTAGTGATAAGCCCTGGCATTATTACAGGCACAAATCCACTCAGCCCGACTCCGTTGACAATTTTGTTTTGGTCTGACTATTCTTCTTCTCTGATGCCAAAGGTTTTTTTTTTTTTTTTTCCCTTTTATTGTTTTATTTGGCTTAGGTTGCGCAATTGCTTACGATATCCGAAGAAAAATATGCAGCCAAGTAAATTTTTTGGGTAGTCTTAAGATAACTCGTAGTAATATTTTGGTTTTCAAAAACTCGTAATAATTTGATGCCGAAATGAATTCCACCAACATTTCTAACTGGTAACTCCAAATTTACATTAGGAGTACTGTATGTGAAGATGTGGGTTTCACTTCATACGCTTCAAGACTAAAAGAGTTTAGTTTATACTCATTTAGCATACTTGTTTAAACTAAAAATTCGTTCATATTCTTTAATAAAATAATGATCTTGTTTAATTTTTACTTTAAGAATAATTAAATGAAAAATAAAAATTGAAATCGCTCGATCATTTTAGGATGAAAAAAAAAAAATACTAAAGATGATGATAACAAACGCCAACTTGCGTGAGCCTCCCCTTTTGCTACTCCATTTGATTACTGAAAGATGGTTGGGTAATCCTTGTAGTTTAGCTAGAGTGCTACTATTAGTAGCCTCCCCTTGATCAATTCCCCCCTATGATGAAACTGTCGAGGTACAACATATTGTCCGTAGATGTAGATTCGTGATAATTTTTTGTTAATATAATATATATATATAGAGAGAGAGAATAAATTTATAAAAAAAATAACTAGAAATAATATGTCTGAAATTTGAACTATTTGTAACCTTAAATACATGAATCGCAAATGAAAATTATAAAATTCAACAGATGTAATTTAATCCATATTACTACTATTACTTAACACTTTTCCTTGTAAATTATTCCATGTGCATATCATTATTCAAAAAAAAAAAAACTATTTTACCATGTTGTTTTTTTTGCAGTAAAATAGACTATTTTATGATATGAAGGTTGTTTTCTTTATCTTAAAAAACAATAATGCAATACGCTATGTATTTTTTTTTCCCCTTTTTTCACGTCTTAAGATATTAATCATCAGCGACAATGATTAATCTCTAAGTTGAAAACACATTGCCAGTAAATAAATGATAAGTTAAAGTCACCTCGACGGTGATATAGAAATGATCAAAAGATCTAAGATGACATTGTACCTGCAGTGAAATTCGAAAACCTTGACCTACTGTCAATAATAATGGATGAGCATTTACTACTACCTCCATTTTTTTTATCAGTCGCTTTAGGGTTTACACAACTATTAAAAAAATAATAATTGAGAATTTAATTTATAAGGATATTATCTTTCTTACCCCTAATTAAAAGTATTGGAATTCTAAAAATTTTGAAATTGAAGTAAAAAAGTAGATAATTGTCATTAATATATGTTATTAAAAATAGAAAGAGATAAGGGTTAAATTGAAAAAAATAATGTATTTAATGTTGCATTGGAAATGAAGTGCGACAGATAAAAAAACACCTTGGGTTCACCCTAAAACGACATATAAAAAAAACGGAGGTAGTAATTTCCTAAACATTATTAGGGTAGTAAAAATTATGATGATGATATTATTGGAATTCTAAAAATTAAAAAAAATAGTCCACATTCAATGTGGAATATTTTTTTGGGACGGGAGAATATTACTTTATTACTCTTCAATATGGACTATTTTTTTTGGACTGAAGAATATTACTTTATTATTCTTTTTATCCAACAAAATTATTCACATTTAATTTTTAAATTTGTACTAAAACTGGCACAAATCTGAAAATTTAATATAATTTTTTTTATGGCAGAGGTAGTGTTTTTTCTTTTTTGTTTTATTTTACTTTTTTTACACATCACACAATATATTCACTACAGGCAAGATCACACAATTCACTATTTTTTGTAAAGCTTATATTCACTCGTTGAGTGGTGAACAGCTCGATGGGACAACTGGATTTGGAGCCATTAAAATCACCTAAACAAGCTCATTAAATTCAGGTAAAAGAGACCCATTGGGTTTGGCACGTTCGGCCCACAAAAATGTATAAGCTAGGCCCTAAGATTTCGCCGCCTCCTTTCCTTCTTAGTTCAGACTTCTGAGCACTCTCACTCACCGCGTAACTTAACACACACAAAACAGGCAATTTTTTTCCCTCTTTCACGCCACCATTATCACCACCGACACTTTCCCGCTGGTTTCCGATTTCCGCTATTCTCTCAGTGAAACCACCATCATATATGTGTCCCCACCACCTTCTCCCAAAAAGTCTGAAAAAAAATAGAGAAAAATATCTCCGCCGCTTTCTCCTCTCCGGTCAATCGAATTCTCCGTTGTTGACCCCACAGTAATAGGAAAATTACGGCGGCGCCAAATTAGAAACTCCACCTCCAGTTCAATCATCAATGTCGTCTTCGTCGTCTTCTCATTATAGTCTCCCGATTTCAGACCCCAAGGCGCAGGCCCAGCCACATCCAGCCGCCTCGATCGGCGGCCCAGCTTTGGGCGCGTTCCTCACGCGCCTCTCCAACTCTCTCCGCCGCTTGTGGTCCCGGCAACGTCCGTGGCTCGAACTGGTGGACTACTCCGCCGTCTCACGGCCAGCCTCGCTCTCCGAGGCCACCACCCGCATCCGTAAGAACATCTCTTACTTCCGGGTAAATTACGTCGCCGTCTTCGCCGCCGTGATCGGTTTGTCCCTCGTCTCCCACCCTTTCTCGCTTTTTACTCTGGCGGTTCTCCTTGCCGCCTGGCTCTTCCTCTACTTGCTCCGCCCTTCCGACCAGCCGGTCGTGCTTCTGAACCGCACTTTTACCAACGGGGAAATTCTGGCCATACTGGTTGCCCTGACCGTGTTCGTGATTTTTCTGACCAATGTCGGATCTCTGCTGATGTCGGCGAGCTTGATTGGATTTGGGATTGTGTGCGTTCATGGTGCTTTTAGAGATCCGGAGGATTTGTTCCTTGATGATCAGGAATTGCCTGGTTCCGGGCTGTTCTCGATGATTAGTGGCGCGGCTGCCTCCGTCTCCGTCGCAGCTCCGGCCGCCGTATCCCAAGTCTGATCGATTGAGCTGGAAATTCACGTGATTACAAAATTCATTATTCAAAAATGATGGGGACATATTAGGATTTGATTTTTGTAATTTTACTATCTGTTCATTTCTCCTTTGCGGCTAATTTCGTGTAGTGCCACTTTGTTGGTTGAGAGATTAATTAATTAATCATTAATTGTGGATTACGATTCTTTCATGGAAGAAACTGGTGGCTATTACAAATTAATTTTTCGTGTGGGCAATTGGTTCTCCTCATTTTCTCTATTCAACATTGATCTCGGTTTTACTTGCTTTTCTCAACCATCACCTATGATCCAGTTCATTAGTTCAACATCAAACATCAAATCCATACTTTAGTTAATCATGTTCGACAAGCAGTTAACCGCATTGCAAACGGCTGAGGTTAGTAGCATAAGTAGCAGAAACTTTGGCAAAAGCCATGAAAATATCTGGTGCCTGGAGATAGAAGCAAAAATTATTAGCTGCGCTTATTGCTCAGGGGCTAATCTTGTAGTCAATGCTTGTACTTAAATTATTCTAAAAATTCCAAAATTCTACAACAAAGACTTTTCCACCCTAAAAGAAAAGATGAAAGAATCAGAAGGGACTCCGAAATTTTTATTTTCCAAGCGCATACAAGTCCAGACACCTTGTCCTACCGATGCCTGTATAATTTCAGAGTTGAATGACGTTAAATTTCAATGATTCCGCATTTCGCTTGGATTGAATAATTCAAGTCTGCAGTTCATTGAACAACTAGTACCAAAGCACAAATCTAAATAGATTGGTCTTAAAATTCAATAACCAAATTACTAAAACAGTGGACAATCTAGAAATCGTTATTGTCCACAAATGGAGGCATAAGACCACAACCATCGCTCCTCAGCTTTTATCATCAGACACCTCTTGCAATTCAACTAAGTGAGGGCAACATTGAAGCCACGCGCACTCTTCATACTACGAGCCCCGAGTTTCCTTCAACGGGAGCTTTCTTCCCACGGAAGTGTGGGCTTTCTTGGAACTGGGCTTTTCTTTGTAACATATTCCCTCCTCTGCTCTTTAATATAAGACATTTTGATTTGTTCTAGGTTTCACCTAATACGCATTTTTAATTGACGAAAAAACCTTAAGAATATATCTTCATATTCGTTGTGTTCTCTAGATTGTTATGAAATATTTTTTGAGGTTTTTTTTTTGTCAATTAAAAGTGCGTACTAGGTTAATCTTAAGACAAATTAAAATGCCTTATATTAAGGACCGGAGAGAATATATCTCTGCAGAAGCTACTCTACCTTTTCATAGAACGAGCCTGAGCCTTGTTCGTGCTACTCCGGTCTTGCCACACTCACCCAACTTCGCTTAAGTATTCCTTTTGCAATTTTACGATATCTTCCTTCGTAACCACCCGTTGAACTCCAGTCCTTCCAACTTGGAAGACTCACATACATACAGGAAAATAGAACACACTCATCAGCGGTATGGAATACCCTTCGTCTTACTGTAATAGTCCACTTTGTTGAACAAAATTAGTACAACAAAGTGAATTATTAACAATTGAACGTAGAGAGATAAGAACCCAGAATAAACTATTCAAGTATACATCGACTGTGTAACAATGAAAGAGGCAAGAGGGGCCAAACTTCAGTTCCTAGTTTCGAAAATTCAGTAGTATTTTTGGTGATGCTTTGAAACCAAGTGTTTAGAGTGGATGCAATTGCTTAGGTTCGGTCAAAGGAACCTAAAAGACTCGTTGCAGACCTGAACTGTCAGAAGGATTTTTTTATTCTTTTTTTGATCTTGCTCATTTCTAAGGTTCTGCAAAACCTTCATCACCTTGATTTCAATCTTTGATGAAATCATTTGGCTATTGTAGAATATCATTATTGTTTAATATGAACTAGAAATGCAGTAATTAATATGAACTAGAAATGCAGTCTTCCATACAGATTTTCACAGGCGACAAGTTAAGCAATAGGGCATCCAATGTTTTCGTAGAAAAATTCAGGACGGACATGTAAATTGTAAGAGCTCCTCTTCCACCCGGCAACTGAGACGTAGTATCCTTAAAATCAAGAAAGAGGCATCCATCAGATGTTATAGATGGCATAAAAGATAAGTTTGGGTGAAGGAAGGAAAGCAAAGAGGGCTGAAAGAACAAACGTAAGTACCACTTACGCAACCATTATATTCTGCGTTAACTTGACCCAGACTCCTGAAGTATTCAAGAGCGCCGATAGTAGAGCAAATCATCCATTCAGCATGCTTCGCAGCTCGAGCATAGCACTTTGTAACAAAACTGATACTCAAAAAAAAAAAAAAAAAGTCAGGAGTACAACTACGATTGACAAAAACCACAAGGTAAAATCATTTGGAAAAGGAGCTTGCCTGCATCCAAAAAGATCAGAAGCAATTCCCGTACTAGTTCCAGTGGCATCACATAGGAATTCAAATAGTTCACCCTCAGAATTCACGGAGTACAAGGCAAGACACTACACATAGACGAAAGAAAATTCATGAGTACAAAGGAAGGCAAAAGCAAACTCCTAATAATTAAAAAACTACTTGTGCTACTAATTAACCTTGCTTTCATCATCCCACCCTGCAATTAGTACTTTTGCTGACTAATGCTTATCAGGATGAGAAGCTAGACAGCCGGCGACCGACTTTGAAACCTCTAATTAATACAGATTTTGTGCCCTTCATGACGGCTCGGTACTGGTATCAAATAGCCACATAAGCATAAAAGAAAACAAACAATGACATCGTTTTTCTCTCTCTTCTTCTAAGAAATGAGAATAAAAAAATATGTACAACATGTAACACACCAATGTGCATACTCCTCTAATTCATATTATGGTATCAAAAAAGGAGGGGAAAATCGGTACCTGGTCTTTCAGATTACTCAGAAAACATCGAGTCTCCCCAACTCCGGAAACAGTGACAAGCACGTGAGGATCGAGATCAATAACGTTCTCAACAAATAATGAAATTGAAAGACCTGATCATCAAGATTTGACAGAAAGGAAAATGAAGAACAATAATGGAATCTGTGTAACTTCTGTATATCTTCTCCCAAACTGATTTTCCTCATGTATATATACATTTAGTTTCTGCAAACTCTAACAAAGCACAACAAATCTCTACCGTCTAATAACAACTAATCCAGTCTAATCTAATAATCAATATTCAAGGAACTTTGAATTGTGAGGATTGATGACTTGGCGGTATGATGTTTCTGGAAGGATTCTGCCAAGCTGGATCATAACCACCCTCCTGATGCATCAGCCTTCCGTGTGTGTTTTGATCCTGGACCACTTGTCCACGTGCAGTAGATGCAGCTTCCTGGTTTTGAACCATGTTTTGGCGGGAGGATGAAGCTGCTTCTGGTGAGTTCAATACCCCCTCCTCAAGTTGAGCGTTCCACAGACTCAACTTGGATAGAATGTAAGAAAAGGAAGCAACAGGTAAAGACTTGGTAAAGATATCTGCCAATTCCGATGATGAACTAACATGTTGTGGAAGAATGAAGCCATCTTTGTACTTGTCTCTAACAATATGGCAATCGATTTCAATATGTTTAGTCCTCTCATGGAAGACCGGATTGGCAGTAATGTCCAAAGCTGCTTTGCTGTCACAAAAGAAAGGAATTGGTAGCTGCAATGGAACCTGAAAGTCTTGTAACATGTACGTGATCCACTACAACTCCCTTACAGTTGAGGCCATAGCTCTGTACTCAGCTTCAGCTGATGAACATGATATTGTGGTTTGTTTTTTTCGCTTTCCAATATACCAAACTTGTTCCAAAAAACACACAGTATCTAGTGATGGAATGTCTAGATGTACGACATGATCCCCAATCAGCATCACTATAGGTTGTGATAAGAGGAACATTGTTGATGGCATAAAACAAACCCCTTGAAACACTTCCAGAAAGATACCTGAATACAAGAACTGCTGTATTCCAGTGAGAATCATGAGGTTTTTGTACAAATTTGCTTAACTGATGCACTGCATAGGTAAGATCAGGCCGGGTATAGTTCAGGTACAACAGGTTTTCAACCAGTCTTCTATACTTCTCAGGATTTTGATAAAGAGGAGTTTCATCCTTGTCTTCAGAAACAAACTTGAAACCACCAGAAAATGGAGTAGAAGCTGCAGTACAATCCAACATGCATGCTTCTTACAGAAGATCAGAAGTGTATTTCTTCTGACTGATATATATACCAGCAGAAGATCTTGCAATTTTCATTCCCAAGAAATACCTTGCAATGCCAAGATCTTTAATTATAAAAGCATTATCCAAAAAATGCTTAACTTGTTGAATCTCATACTCTGATGTGCCAGTGATTAACACATCATCCACATAAACAGGGAGGAATAGCTGGAAATGATCAGTGATCTTAGTGAATAAGCAGTGATCATGATAAGACTGATTAAAACCATATTCATGTAATCTGTAAGTAAATTCCTTATTCCACTGTCTACTAGCTTGCTTTAATCTATACAAAGACTTTCTTAATCTGCAAACTTGTCCCTTCTTGACTTTAGTATAACCCAAAGGAGGATGCATATACACTTCTTTCTCTAAATTTCCATGCAAAAAAGCATTATTAACATCAAGTTGGTAAACTCCCCAACCTTTAGTAGCTGCAATAGCAAACAGCAGTCTTACTGGTACTACTTTTGCAACTGGTGAGAAAATTTCATTAAAATCTTCCCCTTCAGTCTGAGTATATCCCTTTGCTACCAATCTTGCCTTACATCTCTCAATTGATCTATCTGGATTACATTTAATCTTATATACCCATTTAGATCCCACTGCCCTCTTTCTTTCAGGCAAATCAGTCAGTTCCCAGGTATCATTGTCTTCCAATGCTTTCAGTTCTGAGTTCATTGCTTCTACCCATTTTTTGGTTTGTCCTAGCTTGATTGTAATGGACAGGTTCATGTGTAACAGACAGGTTTGCTACAAACTCATTGTATGCAGAACTAAAAATGCAAGTGCTATCAAAATAAGAATTATTAGATGATGTAGAATGACAATGAAAAGTGTAGAAATCATCTAATGAAGTAGGTGGTTTTCTTATCCTATCACTTCTTCTCAAAGGGAGAGGAGAAGGTGGAGCTGGAGTAGAATTATTTTGTGTAGTCTGAATAGGTGAAAAAGAATGATTATCAGAAGTTTGATCAAGTGAAGAAGTATAAGAGAAAGGTGAGGAAGTATGAGGGAAAAATTGAAAGTTATGTTCTTCTGTGTGAGGAATATTCACAGAAGGTAAAGGAATATCAAATTTGCCTTCTACTATAGAAGGAAAAATTGTCTCATGAAAAACAACATCCCTGGAAATTATGACTTTATCAAGATTTGGACAATAGACTTTATATCCTTTCTGACAGGCAGGATATCCAAGAAAAATCCCTTTGAAAGATCTAGGATCAAATTTATCCCTTCCTGGACCATTATTTACTACAAAGCACAGACAACCAAAATTTCTAAGCATTGATAAATCAGGTTTACTATGATAAAGTCTTTCATATGGACTTTGCCAGCTCAGGATTCTAGAATGCCATCTATTGATCAAGTGGCTGTTAATATAGAATCCCCCCAGAATCTTTTAGGTAATTTTGACTGCAATAACAAGGATCTAGCAACATCAAGAAAATGTCTATGCTTTCTTTCCACAATTCTATTTTGCTGTGGTGAGTAGGGACAACTCCTTTGATGGAGAATGCCCTTTTGGTTAAAAAAACATCTGGTAAGATTGATTTAAAAATTCAGTTCCATTATCAGCCCTGATAATCTTGATAATGGTTTGGAATTGTGTTTGAATCATATTATAGAAGTTTTCTATCAGAATAGGCACTTGAGTTTTGAGTTGAAAGAGATAAGTCCAGGTACATCTACTGTGATTATCTAAAATGGTCAAAAAATAATGGCAATTGGAATTGGTTGCTTGGTGAAATGGTCCCCAAACATCTATGAGTATCAAATCAAAACAGTGTTCTGTTGTACTAACAGAGATTGGAAAAAGAAGTCTATGCTGTTTGGAAACTGGACAATTCTCACACTGATGATTTTTACAATTTTTCTCGAATTGAATGTTACAGCCATCTAAATGAGACAGAACATCTAAAGACGGATGTCCTAATCTGGAATGTAGAATATCAAATGGTACTATAGTGGAAACATGATTACATGTCTGAAAGTTTACATTATTCCTATCAGGCAGTCTAAGAAACATCATATAAGATGCATAGAATTCTTGAGATCTTGCAATGGCTTCTGGAGTGAAAGAATAAGAATCCAGGACATATAATTCCTTGATAACTCTTCCAGCTGCCAGAACCTTGCCTGTCTTAAGGTCCTGCAACAGGCAAAAATCGACATAGAATTGGACAAACACATGAGAAGTCTTTGCTAGTTTTCTCACTGATAACATATTGTATTTGAAACTGGGAAGATATAAACATGATGTCAAAGTGACGGATTCAGAGATGTTAACATCTCCAAAATGACTAACATGCTTAATGCTACCATCAGGTAACCAAACTGGTGTGAAGGATTGAAAAGTCTGAGCATTATGCATTAATGAAATATCTACACACATATGACCTGTAGCACCTGAATCAGTTACCCATGCATGTGTACCAATCTCATCAGACAACCAAGAACTAAGAGCAAAGGTAGTAATACCTGCAAACTCATAGAAATGTGTCATGTTCACCATTGGTCCTCCTGCTAAATTCATTACACCTTTGCCCTTATTGATCCTATCAACCTCCCTTTGCACTGCAATGTTGAAGGCTTGTTGATGAGAATCTGACTCAACATTGAATTCCAATGGAGTAATACTAACACCACCATTGTCATAAGACTGTGATACATTCTTCACCATTCAAGGATTATAAGGCACAATTCCTCCTGATCCTGCACTAGAGTATGACGGATTGTAAGTTCCTTGATTCATTCCTGGATTATTCTGTATTCCAGTGTTCTGTGGATATTCTATCATATTAGCAGAATTAAAACCAGGTTTCTTGTTCTTAATACGAGGCCACCATTCTGGATAACCCTTCAAGTTGAAGCAGTCATCAATAATATGTCCAGTCCTGTTACAATGTATGCACAATAGATGAATTTTATCAACTTTTTGATACCCATGTGTCCCTTGTGAACCTTGATTCCTACCATGATAATCCTTCTTCCATCCTGTAGATCATGCCAGCAATGCTGAATTTTCACTTCCTTGCATCATCATTGCTGAGTTTTCAGAAGTTGTAGCAATGTGAACATTGACTTGCCTGTGGCTTTCTGCTGTTGTAATCATGTGGTACACCTTATCAACTGAGGGTATAGGGTCCATAAACAGGATCTGACTTCTCTCTGGTTCATATACATCACTCAATCCCATCATGAACTCCATAATTCGGTCTTCATTTTCACGTTCCACAATCAAATCTCCTACTTCTCCCTCTATCACAGGAGTTGGTGTCAATTCTTTATACTGATTCCAAATTTGCTCAATCTTCCCAAAATAATCACACACAAGAAGCTATCAGGAAGCTTATCTCCTACTTTCGGCATGGCACTATCTATCAGGAAGCTGTCAAACTTCAGGAAAAGTTTCAGAAATCAATATTTTCAGATTCTCTTGCATTAACAGGATCTGTAGCTATTTCCTGGGAGAAGTGGAGTTTAACTCTGACAGAATTTGCTGTGTGTTGATTCTTTCGGTGTGTTTGTTTCTTGAAGTTCATACGTTACATGGCATTGAACCGGATTAAATGAGACATCTACATCTCTACATTTTATTGAGGGAACTGAGAACAATGGTCAGGAACACAAATGCTTTGAAACCAAGTGTTTAGGGTGGATGAAATTGCTCAGATCCTTTGTTTTGTTGTCACCTACATTCAGCACTTTCGGGGTCAGTTTTGGTCGCACTATGTTCTATTCCAGGAATATATGCTAAACCAGCGGTGATTCAAGTTTTTCCGGTCAAATGAACCTAAAGGGCTGTTGTAGACTGGAAGTGTTGAAGGATTTTTTAATCTTGTTCATCTCTAAGGTTCTGCAAAACCTTTATCACCTTGATTTTAATAGTTGATGAAATCATTTTGCTATTGTAATGGATTTATGGATAAATTACAGTTATTAACTGGCTAATTAAAGGCAATGTTTTCGTACCAACGCGCCAAAAAAACACAAAATAACGACAGAAGAACAAAAGAAAGAGACATCATCAAACAACTGCAGTAATTAATATATGAACTAGAAATGAAGTCTATTCCCAAACAAACATCTCCTTCCATACAGATAATCACATGCGACAAGTTAAAATATAGGCCATCCAATGCTTTCGTAGAAATATCCAGGAGGAACCTGTAAATTGTAAAAGCTCCTCTTCCATCGGGCAGCTGAGACGTAGTATCCTTAAAAACAAGGAAGAGGCACCCATCAGAAGTTATAAATGACACAATGATAAATCTGGGTGGGAGAAAGAAAGCAAAGAGGGCTGAAAAAACAAACATACCACTAACGTAACCACTATACTCAGTATTAACCTGACCCAGACTCCTGAAGTGTTCAAGTGCGCCTGCAGTAGAACGAATCATCCATTTAGCATGCTCCACAGCTGAACCATACCACTTTTTGTCAAAACTGATACACCAAAAAACCCAACAAGTCAGGACAACTACAATTGACAAAAACCACAAGGTAAATCATATGGAAAAGGAGCTTGCCTGCATCCAAAAAGATCAGAAGCAAGTCCTGTACCAGCTCCAGTGGCATCCCTTCGTTTTTGAAACACTTCCCCCTCAGAATTCACGGAATACAAGGCATGACACTACACAGACATAAAAAAAACTAACATTCATGAGTACAAACTACAAAGGAAGGCAAACGCAAACTCCTAAAAACTAATAAACTACTTACAACCTAGAAGGGTGCTGCTAACCTGGCTTTCATCATCCCACCCTGCAATTAGTACTTTTGCTGACAAATGCTTATCAGGATGAGAAGACAGATGGCCAGCCACCCACTGTGAAACCTCAAAAACAGATTTTGTCCCCTTCTTGACGGCTTGAAACTGGTACCAAACAGCCACATAAGTGTAAAAGAAAACAAACAATGACATTGTTTTTTCCTCTCTTCTCCTAAGAATTTAGAATTAAAAATATGCACAACATGGGAAATTATTCTATTATCCATATATCCCTAGGTCAATATAAAACTAACACACCAATGTGCATACTCCTCTATCATATTATTATGGTATCAGAAAAAAGACGGGAAAAAGGGTACCTGATCTTTCAGATTCTTGAGAAAAGATCGAGTCTCCCCAACTCCAGAAACAGTGACAAGCACGTGAGAATCGAGATCAATAACGTTCTCAACAAATGTTTCGGAAGCTAAATTTTAAAAGCAGTGTTAGCAACTTTGTTTTTTGTTTATACAAGACAAATAGTTCCACATATGTATCTAGAATAAGAACTCACCATCCTTGCTAGCATCTGAATGATCAGTAGCCACCATAACACCTTCTTTGCAAATGAAAGCAAGAGTTGTGGTACCCTTTGGTCTCCTTGTGTATGGAACTTCATCTCCAGCAAACTAACAGTACCACCACCAAGGGAATACAAATTAACAAAATAAACCAAACAGGCAGGAGGACGGCTAAAAGCTTTTTCAGGAAAAATAAATAAATAAAAACGGAGGAAAAGAAAAAAACTATTCAATCCAGGTCAAGCAAAATAAAACTTATGACAAAATAAAAGAGGAAACAGAAGGACGAAGATCCTTCTGCCCCAATTGTCGCCGATAACTCGCAGAAGAAACTGAATTTAAAGCCAGCAGAGAAGTACCTTGTCCTTATTACGCGAATCTGCAGCCTTTTGCAGGCCTACATTAGTAGCAGATGCCTTCTCTTCCTTGGGGCAAGGATCATCGTTAAGGTGGCCATGGTCGACGGAATAGAGACTCCCTGAGTCTCGACCGCCCTCGTAAGGAACGATGGCCAATGGATGAACAAAATCAAACGGATTAATAACTCTAGTCATGATTCTCGCCTTCGATTTAGGGGGTCATGGTATTTTTCCACCTAATTAGTCAGTTGCTCTCCGATTTTGGTCGTGTCAAATGGCATCGTTTCAAATAAAAATCTAATGAATAAACAAACGCCTTAATTATTCATTAAATTCCATTTTTTAAATCGTCCTTAGCCGTTCTCCGTCAACACTAACCGGAGGAAATTCGAAACTTCGGAAAAATTGGTAGATGTACCTAAAGGTTGACATGCGTTGTCAATTCTATCTTATTCTTTTTTAATTAGCCAATATTACTCTAACATATCCAACCGTTAGCCGATTTTGTCCAATTGGCTAATTTCCGTTTAAATTAACGGAATTCTGTTAGTTTTAATTATAAAAAACACCTTAATAGTTTTGAAAATTATAAAAACGACCCTAAAAATTTGTAAAAATAACCAAATAGTCTTTTTCACTTTTTATTTAATTTTTTATGTTTTCTATTTATTTTATTATTTCTCATAACTATAAAAATATATTATATGATCTTTTAAAAAAAAACTATTTATTTTTAAACACTACTGTGCAAATTTATAGATATGTATATTTGTAACTCATGGTTGATTTACATAAATATATTAATTTTTTAATAATATAACTTAAAAATAATGATATTAGTTTTTTTAATCCTTTTTTCAATTTAAAGAATAATACTTTTGGACTAAAAACCAATTTTTTTTACAAAAAAGTAAAATATTTAGCATAGATTAAAAATTAATATATTAGTACATTTTAATTTATTACAAATTGAATAAAGAAACTATAGATTGTATTATCTAATTCAAAAAATTACTAAACTAAAATATAGTGTACAATCTAGTGTTTAGGGTGTTGAGTTTCATAATAATAGATATAAGATTATTTCTCACCAAGAATTTTTAACTGGGAGCGTGATTTTATCCACATTTATGCATGGTTTACTAAAGGTGAGAGGGTTGAGTTGGATGGTCAAGTTATTTAAGATGGGAGATGATTATTACTGTGTTCGAGGCCTCAATTCTCATTGGGGCGATCTTTTTTTTTTTAAAGGTGAAGTCCAGTACTGGAGAAGATTTTTTTTATTATTATTAAAAAAAATTTCCTACTAAAGTTAGATGTTCATATCTCAAAAAAATTATCATAAAATGTTAAACTCTCGGAATGATAAATATACATATTTTTCATAAAATATTTTGTACCATTTTTTTTACTTTCTGTTTATACTTGGCCTTTTAAAGAAAATATATATTTTAGTTTAATTATTTTTTTAATTTTACAATACAATCTAAATTCTGTTGAATTATATTGTGATAATACATTAAAGTATACCAACAAAAAAAATTTAATCTATGCTAAATGTTTTATTTTTTGTGCAAAATTAGGTTTAGTTAAATAATCTTATTTTTTAGATTGAAAAAAATAGATTAAAAAAATAATATCATTACTCTTAAACCATATTATTAAAAAATAGATTAAAAGAAAACTCCCTTATACTATCTCTATATTTTTCAATTTGTCGCTTTAAGGTGAATCTAAATTTTTTTTTTTATCTAATTGCACTTCATTTTCAATGCAGTATTAAATACAATTTTTTTAATTTCTCACTTATCTCTTTTTACTTTTAATAACATATATTAAAGAATTATTTACCAGAAAAGTCCTAAAAAGTTTCTCTCTATATTCACTCGGTACTAAAAAGTTCAAACGTCCTTATGTCCCCAGAAAGCGAATTATTTTGTATTTATTCAGTTTTCCATCTAAAATAGAACGGTCAACTGTGAAATCACATGCTAGTCACGTGGGTTGATCGAGGGTATGGAGCGTCAAAAAAAAGGGTCTTCAGCCTCTTGCACGTGACTTGCACGTGTTTCCCGCCAAGCGGGAAATTCAAAATTCAAAAATTAATTTTTTGAATTTTGAATTTTGAATTTCGTCGCCAAAATCCGGTTGTGACCACCGGTTCAACCAACGATGTCCACTGGTTCAACCGATTCAACCCACGCCCGCTACCGGTTCAACCAACGACGTCCACCGGTTCAACCGAATCAACCCATGGTCACTACCGGTTCAACCACCGGCCCCAAAATCAACCACCGGTTTAACCGTCGGTCGCTTGTTCAGCCTACTAACCATAAAATAGACAACTAAGCCCAATATTATGGTATTAGATTATTATGGGCCAATCCAATTAATTGTTTCTGGGCCAAATAGTATTTTATAAAAGCCCAATCCCTTTAACAAACCTTATTCCCTTATAACCCTACGTCCCAAATTATTTTTGTAAAGAGAACCGTGCGGCCGCCGGGGGGAGAGAGAATCCAGTTTGGGGGATTAGGGTTCTTTGTTGTCGAACTCAAATCCTTGCAGATTTCTGGCAAAAAACAAGTATTTTGGGTGAAATATGGGTTAGGGATTGGAGGGTTTTGATTGATTTTGGGATTTTGAGGTTTCTTTTTCAGACTGAGAGGAAAGAGGATTAGGGTTGAAAGGTTTGAAATTTGAAGTGTTTGATCTAATTTATGAAGAAATGCGTCAATCTCCAACACCGCCACCATTTCCAGAGCACTTTGTTTGCTATTGTGGCTTACCAGCAGAGCTAACGGTGGCAAAAACTTCTAATAATCCAGGGCGAAAATTTTTCGAATGCCCACGATATCATTTTGGGGAATCATGTGTATTCTTTGATTGGTTCGATTCAGAACGGTGTGCACGATGTATCCAGCTGCTGCCAGGCTTTTTTCACGCCTTGATCAAGAGAAGTGAAGAAATTGCCGAGAAGAATGATTTGTTGGCCGAGAAAGAAATGTTGTTGGCCGATCGAATGTTGATGGAGATGGATCACAAACTGTTGGCTTCGAGGAAAAAAATAAAGATTCTACTCTCTGTTCTTGTTGCAACTTGGGCATTTGTGTTGTTTCGGTCGAATGGAAATGTTGGCAGGGAAAGGTGAATTAGAAGGAAATTGTGGCCAAGGCTGTTTTAATTAGCAGCAATTGTAGTTGTAGTTGTAGTTGTAGTTGTAGTCAATGTTCAAGGTTTGTTTTGGTTTGGTTTAGTGTTTAAGGTAAATTATGTTGTGGTTAATATTCCAATATTAGGTTTAAATGTATGGTGTTTGTAATCGGGCTGAAATGAATAATCATAATTATTGTCGTGTTTGTAATCGGGTTTAAATGAATAATCGTAATTTTTGTCGTATTTGTAATCGGGCTTAATTATAATGCACTTTAATTGAGCATACATTTAAATTTTTTAGATATTAAAATTAACACCCCTACTTAATTAATTTAATTTTGTATTTGGTTATTCTATGTAACTTCACAAAAATCAATCGAACGACCAAAAAGAGATAAATATCCAGTCCATTCTCTTTTACTAAAACTAATTATACTGGAGTCCAAGTCCTGGACTCCTGCCTATTAGGGGTAATTTGGTCATTTTGTTGAAGGGATCAGATTTGTAAATTGATTTTGTTTTATTGTTTTCTTTTTTTTTGTGAAGAGAGGGATCGGATTTGTTGAAAAAAGCCTAAAAAATTTGGAGTAAAAAAGGAACCAAACAAGACCTAAAATTAAACTACATCACCAGTAAGACACAAGAACAGTATATGGGAAAATTGATGGTTATCGTAAACCATCTGCATTAACATATATATATATATACATATATATATCAGAATAGATTCCAGTGACAATTACTACTAATAGTTCACTGAATAAGATTCACCCTAAAATTACTACTACGGAATCCAAACAGCAAAAAACTTAGTAAGCATGAGTTACATCAATACTAGAAAGGGGAACATAAAGATAGAACTGGAGCCTTTAGATGCAATGAGTGAATAAAGTACTTTTGTGAGGATTTGCACCATGGAAGGTTTTGGCCCTTTTCCTCCCGACGGATGTTTCCACAGCTTCCTTACCTAATATCTGAATTGCCTTTTCGGGACTACTGCCATGACCATCAACATCAAACCTTACCTTAACAGCAGCTAGCCTTGCACTTTTTCTCTTTGGTGTTGAATGGGCTGATTTTTTGCGGTTTTTTATGGCTTTGTTGGCAGCCATTGAGGTTACGACAGTAGGGAGAATTACAATATCTGCTTCATGATCATCAAGATTGGCCGACAATGTCACATTTGTTATTGTTGCTTCTGGCTCAGGGGACCTTTCATCAGCACTTGGAGTTTGATTGGAATCCTGTTCCAACTGGTCCATCTACAACAAAGTACATCATTCAGCCCATGGAAGTTGAAAGAGAACTAAATCAATAGAAGAGAACTAAAGAGAACATTACACCAAAGAAACAAACGAGAACATTACAATTTGGTGTTGCTGCTGATTGCTTGACAAACTGTCATCTGTATTGTTTGGTTCTGCCACATCATGATTCTGAACAATGAATGGTGTAGCTGGGTCAGCAGAACTAGATGGACGAAGTGTTGAAGCCAGTTCCACCTACAAAAACACATAAAATGATATAGCCATTTGTAAATATCCCCTTGGATCCCTAACTGAAGTACTTAATGCAGTAAGAATGATAAAAAAAAAAAAAAAAACACCTCTGACAAAGGGCAACTATTTCTGAGATGTCCAAAGTAATTGCAGCGGTCACATTTGAAATCAAGAGTAGGACAGTTGTCATCATCATGAGTATTGCTTCTGCAACGACGACATCCCTCACGCATGTATCCATCGTCAGGTGATGAATATCCACTAGGTATATAATTATATGGTGCACCAGGGGTATTGAAAATTTACAAATGTGTAGTTAAAACCCATATTTACATGTGATCAACCATTGTCAATAAAGAATAAAGTTCAAATTATGTTACAATTTAAAATGGTCATCAAGTTTACCTCTTCCAAGACCTCATTATCATGAAGCCAGTTTTCAGCATCATGAACTGGACAATCTACGATTGTGTGGTTAAGCAAGCGGCAATGGTCACATTGCACCACACTTGTATTTTGCTCAAAAATATCAACACCAACGGCTTCTTTCGATCTCTTTCTTGCCAGTTCTGGACATATGGACTTGGTATGTCCCATTTGCTTGCATTGCTTACATTTTGAGTGTGTTGTTGGTGGCCTACCCCTCCTTTTTTGTTGTGCCGGCTGAGGATTGTTGGTATCTCCTTCCCTAACAGGCTGTGAAACAACAAACAACAAATTCACGTAACCTTTCGTCAGTCAATCACGTAATCATTCTAAACCCTAACTTACAATAATATGACCAAAGAGACCCTTGAAACTGATTCTTACTTGGCTTATGTCTTCATCCACCAGATTGTGTGGATTTTTCTTTGGGGGTCTCCCTTTCCTCTTTGGTATGGGTGGATTGGTATCAGCAACAGTCCCTTGGCCCTAGTGCGTAATGAAACAAACGAAAACAGAAATGTATTAAATTTGGCAATTAAAATCGTAACAAAAACTTGAAACAAAAAAGACAGAAACCTGTTGAGCTACCTGATTTGATTGGTTAAGTAGATCCGGGCAGTGTCTCCTTATATGGCCAGTCACGTTACACTTGCTGCATTTGTTAACACCTTTACCCGTCTTTCTACTTGCTTTAATGGATTCTCTCTTGTTCCTTCTCACAGGTTCATCTTTATCCTTGTTCCTGCTACCTTTGTGTCTACCAATCTTATGCTTGAATTCTGGTGGTTGCAGTTGTGGACCATCATGCTTTTTCCAAAACTTGCTGCCATTTACAGGTACTATAATGTGTGCATAAGCCCTCTCATACACCGACTTGGAGTAAAACTTGTCAATATATTTGTCAACCTTTTCTCTATTCTGAACAATTGCACTAATTGCATGAGAACAAGGTATTCCAGTCAGATCCCACTTTCTACAAGCACATGTCTTCTCTTTCAGATTAACCACGAATTGATCATCAGAATCAATCGTACGGACCTCAAACAATGGACCTCCTGCATGAAGCACACTATGGCCTGCAGCTCTCTGAGCATATTTCTCTAACCTTCTTTTAATCTTAGGCCCAACAACAAACTCATTCCTTGCTAGCCACTCCCTCTTCTTCTGCCCTCTCTTGGTTAAGTACACTCTAAGCCATTCTAGCATTCCAAGAATAGGAAGTTCCCTACCAGGCAGGATAGCTCTATTAAAACCCTCACTAACATTGTTGGTTAACATATCACCCCTAGCTGCTGTTCCAAAGTGTGACCTACACCAATTAGCAAAATTCAAATCATCTAACCACCTCCAAGTAGCTTCATCATAATCTTTTAGAGCTGCCATCAGCTCCTCATGCTCTTTTACATAACTTGATTTTGCTATTTCAAAAAGTTTTTGTTTCAGAAGAAGTCCAGGATGCTCCTTTTTGAAGTTTGACCACAAATGATGCACACAATACCTGTGTGAAACTGCTGGAAGTTTGGACTTAACAGCTGGCAACAAGCCCTGCCAAAGAAATACCGATTATCATAATATAACAAGAGTTTAGGAACAGGAAAAAAAACACCAAGTATCACTGTCATATATGCTTATATATGGAACAAAACATAATATAAAAAATAACACAAAAATCGTCAACATTGACCTCCTGGCGGTCTGAAATTATCACCCAATCAGGTGAGTCTTCAATCTCTAAATCCTTAATCAGAAAATTAAGGAACCACCCCCATGAATCCGTGCTCTCTATCTCAACAACAACATAGGCTACTGAAAACATGTTGTTGTTCGCATCAAACCTAACAGCAGTCAGTAGTATTCCCCCGACAATAGTTTTCAAAAACGTCCCATCTAAACCAATTATTTTCCTGCAACCCTCTTTGAATCCCCGTTTGCATGCTTCATAGCAAAGATATAACCTCTTAAAGGTATCAGGACGTTCAGGGTTAGGGTCCTTCATCAGCTCAAATGTGGTGCCTGGGTTCAGCTTTTTGGTTTCTTCCATGTAACCTTCCAACTTCGCATACTGTTCCACAATATTGCCTCTAACCTTTTCGAGAGCCTTTATATTGACATTGTAAGCTTGTGTTCTGGAAATAGTAATCTTCTTCTCATTGAGAACTCTAAATTGCAGAGTTCCCACACTCATTCTTAGATCATGTGCAAAATCAGCAAGATACCAGTCTGAAACGATGTTGGAGTTGCAGTTCCTGTTCTTCTCCCAAATCTTGTCACAAGTATGTTTATCATTAAGAGTTCTGATCTCAAATGTTGGATCCTCTTTTGAGACTCTAGCCCCATACACTTCCCAGTTGCAACCCTCAACACACCGTGCGTGGACAACTTTAGTATCATTTTTTTTGAAGTGAGTACCCCTCCTTTCAACAAGAGCATGTATTCTAATGGCTTTTAACAAAATCCATTTGTCACCAAATCTTTGCGTGACTTCAAAGGTTGGGTTATGCATCTCCTTCTTAGGGTTAAACTCTCTATACCTTTTAACTTCTACTTGGTCCTCCTCATCATCAGAACCTTTAACTTCATGCAATTCATCACAAGAAGCCTGGTCATATTCTGAATCTCCAGTCTCAGGTACATGTGCATAAGGCACAAACTCAGATGGCTTCCTCAAACTTGCCCAGTAGGAAGTACGCATGGACTCATTGGCATATTTGCAGCTGCTTTCATCATCAGAATCAGACAAGCTGTAATCACTCTCTGGTTCATAATCTTCATCATCTGCATCACTCTCTTCACCTACATCTAAATATGCTGGACGTTTGGGTTTTGGTCCTGGTAATGGATCATATTCATTGACACCTATCCTGTAGATAACAACAACCTTACCCTTCTCTGCAGACGTGAATTCCATCAGTGATTTCAAATCTTGATCTGAATTTAACCTTCTAAAGCCATCAAATTCTGCAACATTAGGGTCTACGTAGAATAGCTTGTGAGGCCTGCAGAATCCAATACGATCTATAAACGAGTTAACCTCTTCAAGCTTAAGGTCCTCAGACTTAACTTCATCAAAGTAGTCCACCTCCACTTGAAAGAAAACAAGTTTTCCAGTCTTGTTTGTCACGAAACCCCCACTGTGATGAATTTTGACAGTAACAAAGCTAGAGCCTTCACCTGAAACAACATGGAAATACATTAATACACAAGGGTTTAAGAGAGGTTGATTGAATAACATATGCATGTCAACAATAAAATTATTCCTATGATACACAGTTTCAGAAATCCTAATTTCACTTAAAAATGCATCTGAAAAAAAAAACATGGCACTTATGCATATGAAATAAACAAAGATGGCACCGTTATAGTTTATTAACTGAAGTATACAATTTTTATTTAATTTCAAAAATCAATTGTCCCTTCCCAACAGTACAACATACTCCCTGCACAACTAACACCAATCCCTAACCCACCATTTCAGTTAAACAATTCGAAACCCCAAAACCATAGTCAATACTAAATTATAACACAAAAACCAAAACAAAATATAACACAAAAACCAAAACAAATTACTTACCATATTTCAGAATTTCAGAGACTTCGTCATCAGGACGAATGTAATCCTCTCCCCTCCACATCGACGGTGACCAGAGCCAAAAGAGTGTGCTCTTGGACCTTCAGTGTTAAAGCTGACTGCCGGCGTTGTGAACTCCGATGACAAACCCGACGGCCTTCCAATTGCAACGAACAACCCTTTGCTGCAATCCTTAGAACCCAAGACTTCTCTTTTTTCATAAATTTAGCAAAGCCCTTTCGATTTCAGGAAACCTTAATTCCCAAACTCCGGTAATAAACCTGACTGCCTCTTCGATTTCGAAAACCCTAACCCTCTTTGTAGTGAAACCGAAGAGGAAACACAAAACAAGTCAAAACCCTCCAATCCCTAACCAAGATCGAAACATGTTGTTGTTTATTTTTGCAGAAATTCACCAGATCTGATGCATTTTGAAAAACCCTAATCCCCCACCTAACACCATCTATCGTTTTCTCTCTTCCCGAACATGGACAAAATGACAAAATGGACAAAATGACTAGGTTTCATCTGGAAGTTTGGGTTTTAACTTTTCCTATTAAAAAAATTGAGTCGGCCCCAGAATTTATGTTGCCCATGTATTGGGATTGGGCTCAAAATAAAAATAATTGGCCCATTTGATGATTTATTGGGCTATCAAACTCCACTTTTTCCCCACCGTCACGGCTACCAGAATATTGCCGGACGGTGTCATTGCGGGCAAGTTCTCGATTACCACCGGGAATATCACTAGTGCCATGTATTGGCCGGTGGTCAATGTTTGTTGAACTGGTGGTCAACTACCGGAATTTAGCCGTGACCGGTGGTCGACGGTCGTAAACTGTTGACGAAGTGGCCGTAACCGGTGATGGCCGGTGGTTGTACCAGTGCCGGCCGGTGGTTGAACCGGTTGAATTGGTGGACGTCGTTGGTTGAACCGGTGGTCACAACCGGATTTTGGCGGCAAAATTCAAAATTCAAAAAATTAATTTTTGAATTTTGAATTTCCCGCTTGGCGGGAAACACGTGCAAGTCACGTGCAAGAGGCTGAAGACCCTTTTTTTTGGGACGCCTCATACCCTTGGTCAACCCACGTGACTAGCATGTGATTTCACGGTTGACCGTTCCATTTTAGACGGAAAACTGAATAAATACAAAATAATTCGCTTTCTGGGGACATAAGGACGTTTGAACTTTTTAGTACCAAGCGAATATAGACAGAAACTTTTTAGGACTTTTCTGGTAAATAATTCTATATTAAATACCTATTCTTTTACTTCAATTTTAAATTTTTTTTAATAGTTCCAATACTTTTAATTAGGGGCAAGAAAGATATTATACTTAGAAAGTAATGATTGATATTACAAGTGCAAACCCTAAAATGACAAATAAAAAAAATAGACGTCGTAATTTGCATTTTTGTCCAATCTCTCACCCAAAAAAAATTTAAAACAATTCTTAAATACAAATTGCAGTGTAAAATAAATACTATTCCCACTACATTTTAACTAACTCCCTCCATTCTTTTTATAGGTCTTCCTAAAATATTTATCAAAACCAAGAAAGTATTAATTAATGTAGTTAAAATACAAGATTACTATTATTAAACATATACTCCATCCATTTCTTTTCAATAGGCTCACTTCCCCTTTTGGGATGTTTCAAAACTTTAGTCCCACTTCAGACAATTAATTAACTTTTTCTATAAACTCTCTAACATATCCTTCCCACTTTCACTGAAATCAAGAACATTTAATTAATTTCAACTATTATTCTCTCATATCAACTAATAACTCACTAGTCATTAATAAGGGTATAGTAGGAATTTCATTTAAATTTAACTACATAAACTACATTACCCACTTTTTTTTAATCTCCGTGTATGTCTAAATGGGCCTATTGAAAAGAAATTGAGGGAGTATATAAAAAGTGAGTTTCTCCCTTCACACACATCAAACTTTGGTAGTATTTTCTCACGTGTGTGAAAGGTTAATTATGTAATTTAAACATTCAATACTTTAGTTTTGATTTTTTTTCCCCTCTTTTTTTTCCCCCCTTCTTCTTTATCCTTCTATATAGTATCTACCCCATTTTCTTTCAATTTATGCATACAATCAATTTTTTTCATTTTTCTTTTTTCATAATATGAATTTACTACTACATCAATTGCTAAAATTACTAGCTTTTCGAATTCTCCCAAGTAAAAGATACTACCTCCGTCCCAAAAAAATAGTCCACATTGAGTTTGTAAATTTGTGCTAAAAATAGTATAAAAATCAAAACTCAATGTGGACTATTTTTGTGGGACGGCTGGAGTATATAACTTCTCATACCAACCTGTCCAATTTTTTTGAACTCATCTTTTTCTTTGCCTCTTTTTATATATAATTTTTTTGTATTTTGCTACCTACATATAAAAGAAGGGTTTTGTCACTTTTTACACTTAATTATCTTTTCATATTCTTTCATTATTTTCATTCTAAAACATTTCATTACTATTGTATAATGCATTAAAAACATATTTCTATTCATCTTCTTTCATTACTCCATTATTAAAAATTTTCAATTTTGTTTTATTTCATCCTCTCATCTTCCCCATTTTATTATCAACCCTTCATTACTATTAAATAAATACCTCACACTTGACTTTTTTTGTAATATTTTTTTTTTACACATGTGAACTATCTTTTCATCTTATTTCATTATTTTCACTCTAAAAAATTTCAGTTTTAAAGAAAAATTCATTAATATTACATAATGCACAAAAAAAACATGTTTCTTTTCATCTTCTTTCATTACTTCAATATTAATGAAACTGAATTTTTTTCTTATTTAATCTTCTCATCTTCCCTATCATTATTTTCATTAATAGTTCATTACTATTATATAAATATAAAGACAAGTTTCCGCCCAAACCTTTTCTATCCTCTCCTCCTAAAATTTAGCGATGAAACTTTATAAAGATAGTTATGATACAGAGTTCAATTAGTGTGATGCAGATTTCTCTTACCAACATAATATTGTTCTTCTTACTTTTTAATAGCACATTATGTTTTAATTTTTGGAAGTAGTTGCATTTCATGTCAACCCTTTTTTTTTGTTCTATATATGTTTAAAACTAACTGAAAGATTCATGTGTTCCTTTCTCCCTTCATATACATGAAACTTTGGTAGTATTTTCTCACGTGCGTGAGAGGTTAATTATGTAATTTAAACATTAAATACTTTGGTTTTGATTTTTTTTCTTTTTTCTTTCTTCTTTATCCTTCTATCTATCCCTATTTTCTTTCAATTTATGCATACAATCATTTTTTTTTTTTCATTTTCCTTTTTCATAATAATGAATTTTTTTTAAGAGAACCAGGACAGGAACTGGCGGGCATCCCCCGATTTTATTAATTTTCAAAGAAAAATATACACCGGCAGTGCTTAAGACTTACCCAAAGAAAAGAGTCCGTCGTACAAAGATCTCACTAAGGATCCCCTTGTCAGCTCTGTATGCAAAACCTAGAATGATGCCTTATTAAGATTGGACTATAATCCCATGGCATCATTTTCTATTTATAAAGGTAAATTTAACTATGAAAGTGTCTCACAAAGGTTTGAGAACAAAAACCCCATGACACTTTCTTTTTAGAATACAATCAATACTAAAAATCCTAGCTATACTCTATGCTTGTATCAGATTTATGAATGAGACTCTATTTTATTCCTAGATATGGAAACTAGCACTTATCGAGATACCATTTACCCCACAGGGTAGCTGGGAGCTCATCCTAATGATTATATTGATTGGTTGCTCCTTCTGAAGATTGTTTAGCTAGATCATCAGCCATAGCATTTCATTCCCGAAAAATATGTATAATTTTGGAGTTAGAAGCTTCAAGCAATCCCTGAATTTCTTTGAAAGTAGATTGGAACCGCCAAGGAAAATTTTCTTTTCTATGGAGAATATTGACGATTACCTTATTGTCCATTTGGACTATTACTCTTTGTATTCTTCTTTCTGCACAAGTTCTTAATCCATGAAGGATTCCATTTAATTTTGCCTCCAAGCTTCAGCTATTCCCATATGCTTGCATTCTGCCCGCATTAACATTCCTTTGTCATCTCGAATCACAAAACCGCATCCAACTGCGCCAGGTTGGCCTAGTGCTGAGCCATCTGAATTTAAGACTGTTCCTCCTGGATCCGGTGGCTGTCATCTTATAGATAGGACCTTTTTTCTTGGCATGATTGGAGCTTTTACCTTGAAGACTTCCTCTATCTCCCTTTTCTCTTCCTCCATTTTTGCTTTCAGCTTATGGACACTCAAGAAATTAGAAACATGAGTTATAACTGTTTTGATTAAAGCTTCAGAAGAGAAATTCATACCTTCGTATACAAGCTTATTACGAGTTTTCCAAATCTCCCAAAGTAGGAAGATTGGAATAACCATAATAGTTGTTTTTCTTGCCGTCGTATAACTCACAATGGAATGCCACGCTTGAATGTTGCTCTACCACCCTGTATGATTAAAGAGTTAATTCCTATACAAGATGCAAAATAATTCCATACCTGAGTTATCTTTGAGCAACCATAAAAAATATGATCAATCTTTTCCTCTTCCACTTTACAAAATGGACATATGGATGGATTTAAGTGAAAGCTCATTTTTTGTAGAATTTTTGGAAAAGGCAATAAACAGTTAAAAAGTTTCCACATGAAGAATGAAATTTTCAAAGGTAATACTTTATTCCAAAAATTTTTTAAGCAAGCATTTTCTTCTCTTTTTTCTCAAAACTCAGAATAAGTATCAGATATTGAGAAACTCCCTGTAGAATTTGGTGTCCATGCTAGATAATCAGGTACTTCATTAAACACCAATGACATGGACGATAGTAGAGCAAAAGCTTGAGGCTGTAGAGCTTCCTTCAATTTCTGCAAGAAAAATTCCTTATTAGTAAAAAATTCCTTAACCGTTAAATCCGGCCAAGGAGGAACTCCAATAGCACTTTGTAATGATCCTAAATCCAGCCACTTTGCACGCCAAAAAGAAGAGGATCCATCATTGATAATCGTCTTGCT